CTCATGTTAGAGTGATTTCTGAAGGATCATGTGACACTGAAGACTGGAGTAATGATGCTGAAGATCACAGGAATACATTACACTTCACTATATATTCACATAGAAAACAGCTGATTTACACTGGAATAATATTTCATTACATTACTGTTTTTACTTTATTTTCAATCAAATAAATGCAGCCTTGGTGAGCAGAAGAGACTTCTTTCAAAAATATAAAACCATCTTAACTCGAACTTTAGACCAGTAAGTGTATACAGCAGGTTTGATCAGAGAAACCGTCACTCACTTCCAGGGGAACTTCGGCAGGTCTGAAGCTTTTGCTCCTCTTGCTTTTCTAGCCTGCGGCTCATCCTGGACGTCCTCCTGCTCCACGGGTAAGAGGACATGGACATACGGTGGAGAAAATCCACATTACACAAGGTTTAATACAACTCAGCACTATCATCGGTTCAATAGTCACATTTAGTTTTTATTTTATCCAAACTGATTTTAGAGCTAAACTATGTAAATAAGGATTTTTTTTAAGTCTTGTTTTTGGGTTCTACTAGAACAGGTTTATATATATATATATATTTAGCAACAGAGCATCTCAAGCAGAGTTGTATGGTGTGAGAGGCCTTACCGTCTCTGTCCTCTGTTCTGGGATGTTCTCTTGTGCGGGATCACGGTCTCCATAGAAGCAGATCAGCTCTAACAGCTCATTCGTCACGTCCAAAGACACCGGAGTACCTGCACAGAACACACTCGTCATCAGTCAGACTCAGATGAGAAACAGACAGACACTCGGACACAGACACACACTCGTCATCAGACTCAGACTCGGACACAGACTCGGACTTGGACACAGACAGAGACTCGGACACAGACACACACTCGTCATCAGACTCAAACACAGACTGAGAAACAGACTCAGACACAGACTCAGACAGAGACTCGGACACAGACTCAGACAGAGACTCGGACACAGACTCAGACAGAGACACAGACTCAGACAGAGACTCAGACTCAGACACAGACTCAGACAGAGACTCAGACTCAGACACAGACTCAGACAGAGACTCGGACACAGACTCAGACAGAGACTCAGACTCAGACAGAGACACAGACTCAGACAGAGACTCGGACACAGACTCAGACAGAGACACAGACTCAGACAGAGACTCGGACACAGACTCAGACAGAGACTCAGACTCAGACACAGACTCAGACAGAGACTCAGACTCAGACACAGACTCAGACAGAGACTCGGACACAGACTCAGACAGAGACTCGGACACAGACTCAGACAGAGACTCAGACTCGGACACAGACTCAGACAGAGACACAGACACAGACTCAGACAGAGACTCAGACAGAGACTCAGACAGAGACTCAGACACAGACTCAGACAGAGACTCAGACACAGACTCAGACAGAGACTCAGACACAGACTCAGACAGAGACTCAGACTCAGATAGAGACTCAGACTCGGACACAGACTCGGACAGAGACTCAGACACAGACTCAGACAGAGACTCAGACACAGACTCAGACAGAGACTCAGACACAGACTCAGACAGAGACTCAGACTCAGATAGAGACTCAGACTCGGACACAGACTAGGACAGAGACTCAGACACAGACTCAGACTCAGATAGAGTCTCAGACTCGGACACAGACTCAGACACGCAGACTGAGAAACAGACACGGACACAGACTCGGACACAGACAGAGACTCGGACACAGACTCGGACACAGACTCAGACACAGACTCAGACAGAGACTCAGACAGAGACACAGACTCGGACACAGACACAGACTCGGACACAGACTCAGACAGAGACACAGACTCAGACAGAGACACAGACTCAGACACAGACTCACGACAGAGATTCAGACACAGACTCAGACACGCAGACTGAGAATCAGACTCAGATAGAGACTCAGACTCAGACTCGGACACAGACTCAGACAGAGACACAGACTCGGACACAGACTCAGACACAGACTCAGACAGAGACTTAGACTCAGATAGAGACTCAGACTCAGACTCGGACACAGACTCGGACAGAGACTCAGACTCAGACAGACACTCAGACTCAGATAGAGACTCAGACTCGGACACAGACTCAGACACGCAGACTGAGAAACAGACACGGACACAGACTCGGACACAGACTCGGACACAGACTCGGACTCAGACACAGACTCGGACACAGACTCAGACAGAGACTCAGACAGACTCAGACACGCAGACTGAGAAACAGACACGGACACAGACTCGGACACAGACAGAGACTCAAGACACAGACTCAGACTCAGACAGAGACTCAGACACAGACTCAGACACGCAGACTGAGAAACAGACACAGACTCGGACACAGACACAGACACAGACTCAGACACAGACTCGGACACAGACTCAGACACAGACTCAGACAGAGACTCAGACAGAGACTCAGACAGAGACTCAGACTCGGACACAGACACAGACTCAGACACGCAGACTGAGAAACAGACTCAGACTCAGACACAGACTCAGACAGAGACACAGACTCAGACACTCACCGGCCTGCAGCAGCTGGTCGTACAGATCCACAGCAGCTTTGACCTTCCTCAGCTGAACTCTCTCTGCGAGCGCAGCTTCAGACACCTCCTCAATCTGAGCTTCCAGAGTCTCCGGCATCAGACACTTCCAACAGAACACAGCAGATGATTCACAACGTTCACACACACGCACGCATGAGCAAAGCAAATCATCGTACACCAGCACTGGACACTCACAGGAATATGAGGGTGTGCGTAGTCTTTCTGGAAGTACTTGGGGTATTTGTTGATGAAATATTGGGCAGCATTTCTGCCTGACTCCTGGGACAAGGAGAATAATTTCTGTGTGGGAAAAATCAAGAGGTCAGTGTGTGTTCTCATGTAATGTGCATCTATGTTCACAACTTAGTTACAGCATATTCATTAACTCTTTCCCTGCCCGCATTAAAAAATAAAATAAAAAAACTTGCCAGCCACCAACAGCGTTTTGGAAAAATCGGCCATAGAATATTTTGTTGTATGGATATCTGAACATGCAATATGTGAAAAGAATAAAAAAAATGTATTCTAGCTTCAAGCATTCTTTTTTGATCGACACTTTATCAACTGTGGGTAAGTTTCATACGTAGCAACATTTTGAGCAAAAAGCTGAGAAAATGATATTTTTCTCAAAGTCTTCATCCGGATGGGATTCAGATCGGTGATCAAAACAGAGACGGAGTAGATCGAGTTCATCAACACCTCAAAGCTTCTCTTCATGGGTTCAACATTTCATTCAGTAACGTTAGCCAGTTTGGATTTATATGCCGATTGTGAACTTCTCTAATTGTTTGATAAGCCAGTTCAATCTTTATGAGCTACTCACAAAGTCAAATGCTGTTTTTGGAGAGAGATAAGGATCATCCTGGAATCTGTAATCTGTTGCTGTAGGATCCTAGACCACACACACAGACAGTAACTTTGTTTACATGATATTAGATGACAAATAGCTTTATAACATGGATGTTGGGGGTTGTCTGATTAACATACCCTGTTCACGGTGGATGCCAGTGCCTGTAAAACAGCCTCTTTACTCCTGATAATGATAATAATAAACTTTATTTCTATTGTGCTTCTGGGATGTTCAAAGCGCAAAGGAAAAATAACAAAATAATTCAACAATAGTAAATTGGTGTATTAAAAAAAGAATATAGATCTGTGTGTCAACGTCATAAAAGTGATACTTAATACCAAGAGTTCATAAAAGTTAGCCAAGCAAAAATAAATAAAGACTAACAAGTAAAAAGTAAAGGTCCTAAAACTGAGCCCTGAGGGATGCCAGTAGAAACTGATCCAATGTCAGACCTGTCCGGTCAAATAAGTAAATTAAATAACTAATCAAATTAATTGACTGTGTGAAATAATGAGTTATAACAAAAAACACAAGTGATCTTTAATGTGTTGTTCATCTGAATAGTACATACCACGTTTTCTTCTTTGGAATGACTATTTCTTCTAAAAAATACAATAAAAAGATTTATTTCTGATTAGAACGCAGCTTAATTTAACAAAGCACATGAATTCTCCTATTAAAAAACAGAAATCATGAGTTGTCAAACCTAGTGAAGAAACGGAAGGTTGTTGGTCTGCAGCAGAATTCAGAGCAAAACTCCTGTAATCAAACCCCATAATGAGCTATTTCATTCTAATAAAACATTTAATATTCAGGTAAAACTTGAAAAGTTATTAATCATATGCCGACGTGAGCTGACACATTAACGTTACGTTACAGCCCCTTGAAATGACCTAGAGACAACCAGTCATTTCTTTAAATGCATGGAAATGACAAAAATGTAATTTAATAAAAAGGCGTAAGTAAGCTTGTTGTTGTGCATTCATCTTACCTATTAGGCCATGAATTCTGCAGATGGATGCGCAATATTCTGCTACTCTTACAAGCATGATGCCTGAGAGCTCGCGAACAGGAGGACGCCATGACACCGGGTGCGTAATCGAAACCATCCGCTTATAACAGCAGGAAGCGCTGAAGAAATCTCGGGCTGTCATTGGTCCATTCTGGAGAGCGCTGAGAAAAGTAACAGGTATCATGTGATCTGACCGTTTAAATTCTACTTCAATATCGATGTGGAAAATAATGTACCTCTTGATAATGACACTGCGAAAGTAAAATAACAGCAAATAGTTATTAAAAAAATATTCTGAAAGTTTCACACTAATTTCCATTCTACCAATCATTCGTTTTCTAATGCCGGGATATACCATCTGACCAAACAACAACAATAACAAAAATCTATTTGTCATACATCCCCGTAGAATATTAATATGCAGATATTTTACTTGCAAATATTTAATATTTACCACTGTTCCTTAGGTCAACGTCTCTGCTTTTGTCGCTTTTGTTCATGTTTCAGTCTAGTTTACCCCTCCGTGTTATTTGGTCTCGCCCAAGCGTCCAGCACGCGCTGCCTCTCCCACATGTTACAGCTCTACATGACGCACATGGAGAATACAGAGAGATTTATATTATTCTAATGTACATAGTTTATTAAGAAAATGCAGTTTTCAAAAGAAACACCATGGAGGCGATTGGAGGGCATGTCGTTTGGCTTGTACGACGCTGATGAATTAAGGTAATGATAACTTGTACTGAACTAACTTGCACAGCTAACCGGAGATCAGTTGCATGTCACTGTAAACTAAAGACTCCAACAGTTATTAACAAAACACAGTTCATTTAACTACACATGTTGAGCTTTGTGACAACATGCCCCATATGCTGTCACGTTAAATGCTCTTTTAAAACATAAAGGTACGTTTGAGTCAAAGATAAGCAGCACAATCAAGCTCAATAATTCCTGAACGTAGTCCACTAACGTTACTTCATAACTCAATAACTTTACAGTTTTTTAACTGAACTGGTGACACTTTTCAAATAAGGACTCGTTTGTTGATATATTAGTTAACATGAACTAATACAGTAGGATCAAATAATGTCATCAAAGTTGTCCTAAGACAAGAATGGGTATTGTTCAAAATCTCATGTATAACTTTGATCATTTTAACTTTGATAACTTTGGTTTTTGATAAATTTTTTCCATTTCAAATGTTGACTACTGTACATATAATTTATACTATACTTCTACGGTATGTATTAATCTACGCTGGACAAAGTTATAAACGCAACACTTTTGTTTTTGCCCCCATTTTTTTCATGAGCTGAACTCAAGGATCTAAGACTTTTTTCTATGTACACAAAAGGCCTATTTCTCTCAAATATTGTTCAGAAATCTGTCTAAATCTGTGTTAGTGAGCACTTCTCCTTTGCTGAGATCATCCATCCCCCTCACAGGTGTGGCGTATCAAGATACTGATAATGATTATCGCACAGGTGTGCCTTAGGCTGTCCACGATAAAATGCCTCTCTAAAATGTGATCTTTTGTGTGAAAAGGAGAAGTGCTCACTAACACAGATTTGTGAACAATATTTGAGAGAAATAGGCCTTTTGTGTACATAGAAAAAAGTCTTAGATCCTTGAGTTCAGCTCATGAACTGCTGCGTTTATAATTTTGTCCAGTGTAGTAAAATGTTAGTTAATTAGTTAACATGTACTCGTTGTCATCCTGCGAAGCTGCTTTGAAACCATCTGAGTTGTATAAAGCTCTATAGAGACTAGGGCTGTCACGTCTTTTGTGAAAGAAAAGATTTTTTGAGTCGTAAGAATTCATTGAATTGATTTATAAAATAAATTTTCCATGTCTAAAAGCCGTTTCCATTTTCAAAATACAGGCAAATCCACGGACGCGTAACAGGCATTAGGACTAGCGTAAAGAGGCGCTTGAGACGCACAAGCAATATTCCTGATGATTTATTGGTGTGAAGTTTCTGATAATGACAAACAGGAGCGCAACATTCAGAGATTGAGATTAACAAATGTGTGTAAACAAACTTTGGCGGGAAAACGCTGTCCAATCACGAGCCAATCTGGCGTTTCTCTGTTCACTCACACACAAGCCAAATCTGGATTTAGTGCAAATACACAACTCGTGATCCTCATGATATATTAAAAACAGCGTATTGCAGAATCTGCACATTTCTGGCTTACTTGAACACACACACACGTCACTACACAACATAACGGCACTTTTGTTCACTTGCACTAAAGTAATAGCGAATATTAAAAGCATTTGGAGAACAGAAAAGACAGTGTTATTTCCCAGCATCCTACATGTTGTGTGTCATGTGTTGATCTCTCCACCTAACACACAAAAGGAGGTTAAAATCGATTCCCTATTCTCGTTTTCGAAACTTGTGTTGGTTGGTCCGATCGATTGTGCAATCGATTTTTGAACATAAAGTGACAGACCTAATAGAGATGGAGGTAGCTTGAGTTGACCTTCTGTCATCCTCTGGTCTCTCTCTCTCTCTCTCTCTCTCTCTCCCTCTCTCAGGAGGCTGAGTGTGAAGACGGTCACGAACCCGGAGCTGCTGGAAGGCGTGGGCAGTGCGGCCCCGAACGGGCTGTATGATCTGGCTCTGGGCCCCGCCGACAGCAAGGAGATCTGCTCCACCTGCATGCAGGACTACGACAGCTGTCCGGGACACCTGGGCATCGTGGAGCTGCCCCTGCCCGTCTACAACCCGCTCTTCTTCAGCGTAAGCTCTCCTCTCACGGGTTAGCTGTGCGTCTGGCACAGTTCTTCATCAGTCTCTCGCCCTCATGTCCTTCCAAACCCTTGAATCAACATCTAATTAATGAAATATGAGAGATTTCGATCCCTCCATTCACAGTCTACGCAACTACCACTTTCAAGGCTCAGAAAGGTAGTAAAGACGTCATTAGAGTAGGAGTGTACCGACACACTCATGTCACGACTCACACATATCACGATTCTGAACTCACGTTACGATATTATTGCGATGCTCCAAGATATATGATAAACGATTAACAGAAAATTAACTGTTGGTTAAAATGTTAAATGTGATGTTGCAGTGTGTGTGTGAATGAATAGTCTCTGTGCTGAAACCCGACACACAGGACAATAGAGACACCAGAATAACAATATTCATGATTCTGAAGATGAAAACACTGAATTATTGTAGATGAATGCGATGATCTCTGTCTCTGGTACTGGTAACATCAGACCCCACTGCGTTATCATACATTATAATTCTTATTAAGTGATCGAGTCTCTTCAGAAGTCTGATTTAAGCTGCTCGATTCATAATATGGATTTATTTTAATATCGTTTTATGAATATTTTGGGTGAACAGACTGTCATAGGAGGGACAGAAATCTCTGAGATTTGATTAAAAGATCTTCAAAGATTAGTCAAAGTCTGATGAGTTTGGAACGACTCGAGGCAGAGTAAATAATGATGACAGGAGTAACACTTTTGGGTGAACTGTCCCTTTAATAACACAACAATTGTATTCTAATGAGATCATTATCCTGTTTGATGTTAAAATATTGGGTAAAACTTTATTTTAATGGTTAACTGTAGACATATTCTACTGACTGTACGTAAACTTGCACCAACACTGCTGTTCAAGAGTGTTGTATCTGTAAGATTTTTAATGTTTTTTAAAGAAGTCTCTTCTGCTCACCAAGGCTGCATTTATTTGATTAAAAAAACATCCTGATGTCCATCTCTTTGCAGAACTTGTACATGCTGATCCGAGGTTCGTGCCTCCAGTGCCACCTCATGCTGTGCCCGCGCGCGGCGCTGCATCTGCTGCTGGGACAGCTCAAGCTCTTGGACGTGGGCGCGCTCAATGAGGCGTACGAGCTCGAGCAAGTGCTCAACCAGGTCAGAACCGCTTTAGGACTGGGGTTGGGCATTGAATACTTGAGGTCAGGCATCTGATACTTGAGGTCAGGAATCGGATACTTGAGGTCAGGAATCGAGTACTTGAGGTCAGGAATCGGGTACTTGAGGTCAGGAATCGGGTACTTGAGGTCAGGAATCGGGTACTTGAGTTCAGGAATCGGGTACTTGAGGTCAGAAATCGAGTACTTGACGTCAGGAATCTGATACTTGAGGTCAGAAATCGAGTACTTGAGGTCAGGAATCGAGTACTTGAGGTCAGGAATCTGATACTTGAGGTCAGGAATCGGATACTTGAGGTCAGGAATCGGGTACTTGAGGTCAGAAATTGAGTACTTGAGGTCAGGAATCTGATACTTGAGTTCAGGAATCGGGTACTTGAGGTCAGAAATCGAGTACTTGAGGTCAGGAATCTGATACTTGAGGTCAGGAATCGGATACTTGAGGTCAGGAATCGGATACTTGAGGTCAGGAATCGAGTACTTGAGGTCAGAAATCGAGTACTTGAGGTCAGGAATCTGATACTTGAGGTCAGAAATCGAGTACTTGAGGTCAGGAATCTGATACTTGAGGTCAGGAATCGGATACTTGAGGTCAGGAATCATGTACTTGAGTTCAGGAATCGGGTACTTGAGGTCAGAAATCGAGTACTTGAGGTCAGGAATCTGATACTTGAGGTCAGGAATCGGGTACTTGAGGTCAGGAATCGGGTACTTGAGGTCAGGAATCGGGTACTTGAGGTCAGGAGTCGAGTACTTGAGGTCAGGAATCTGATACTTGAGGTCAGGAATCTGATACTTGAGGTCAGGAATCGGGTACTTGAGGTCAGAAATCGAGTACTTGAGGTCAGAAATCGAGTACTTGAGGTCAGGAATCTGATACTTGAGGTCAGGAATCTGATACTTGAGGTCAGGAATCTGATACTTGAGGTCAGGAATCGAGTACTTGAGGTCAGGAATCGAGTACTTGAGGTCAGGAATCGGGTGCTTGAGGTCAGGAATCAAGTACTTGAGGTCAGGAATCTGATACTTGAGGTCAGAAATCGAGTACTTGAGGTCAGGAATCGGGTACTTGAGGTCAGGAATCGGGTACTTGAGGTCGGGAATCGAGTACTTGAGGTCGGGAATCGGATACTTGAGGTCGGGAATCGGATACTTGAGGTCGGGAATCGGATACTTGAGGTCGGGAATCGGATACTTGAGGTCGGGAATCGGATACTTGAGGTCGGGAATCGGATACTTGAGGTCGGGAATCGGGTACTTGAGGTCGGGAATCGGATACTTGAGGTCGGGAATCGGATACTTGAGGTCGGGAATCGGATACTTGAGGTCGGGAATCGGATACTTGAGGTCGGGAATCGGACACTTGAGGTCAGGAATCGGACACTTGTTATAAAATTTAAATGCTGATTCCTCTTATCGACTGCTTTACGAGCTCTTGGATACGTCTTTAAAGCACTGAAGCGCGAGACTCTTCGCTATAATAACACTGATCGCACAACACGAGACTTCACTGATTAACTTTATAACTATATTTCTAATGTATATTTTATTAATAAAGTCAGTTTGTGAACCTGAACACCTGAGAATCTTAAAACACTGTTTATTTCAATCATATCAATGTTCAGTTGTGTCTATTTGTTGTGATTGCTCATTTATAATTTGTCCTTTTTTAGTTACTGAGTGTTTACTTGAGGTCAGGAATCGGATACTTGAGGTCAGGAATCGGGTACTTGAGGTCAGGAATCGGATACTTGAGGTCAGGAATCGAGTACTTGAGGTCAGGAATCGGGTACTTGAGGTCAGGAATCGAGTACTTGAGGTCAGGAATCGGGTACTTGAGGTCAGGAATCGAGTACTTGAGGTCAGGAATCGGGTACTTGAGGTCAGGAATCGAGTACTTGAGGTCAGGAATCGGGTACTTGAGGTCAGGAATCGAGTACTTGAGGTCAGGAATCGGGTACTTGAGGTCAGGAATCGAGTACTTGAGGTCAGGAATCGCGTACTTGAGGTCAGGAATCGAGTACTTGAGGTCAGGAATCGAGTACTTAAGGGTCAGGAATCTGATGCTTGAGATCAGGAATCGAGCACTTGAGGTCGGGAATCGAGTACTTGAGGTCGGGAATCGGATACTTGAGGTCGGGAATCAAGTACTTGAGGTCGGGAATCGGGTACTTGAGGTCAGGATTCGGGTACTTGAGGTCAGGAATCGAGCACTTGAGGTCGGGAATCGAGTACTTGAGGTCGGGAATCGGATACTGAGTGTTTACTTGTCTTTAATAATGCTTGATATTTATATGAGTTAGTCTAGTTGTTCTTCTGTGGTGTTTATAATCCACAGGCAAATGCTCCTAGTGTAAGTGTTGTTCAGCTGATGAGTTCTTCATCATATTCAGATACAATTACATGTTTTGCAATTAGACTAAATGTGAATAATATATACATTTTTTTTTTTTAACTTAATGGAATGGAAATTAGGAATCGTTAAGTTGAATCGATACCCAGCCCTGTTTATGAGGCCCAAGTGTTCACATGTTGCGCTCTTGTCTCGCTCTCCAAGTTGCTGGAGGTCAACGCCCAGCCGACCTCTATAGAGATCCAGGAAACCCTGGACGCGTTCATCAATCCCATCCTCAAAGCCAGGCCAGACAAGCATCACACTGCTCCTGTGAGGCCCATTCTCTTCTCATCTCTCGTTTGCCTCTGTGCAGTTTATATGTGTGTCTTACACGTTTGCTTTGACTTCAGATCAGACATGTGTGTGAGAAGAAGGTAAGCCTCATCCACAGGTTCTGGAGGATACACATGGCCACACGGAAATGTCCGAATTGCAAGTAAGAAGCTCAACGTTTTTCTATGTTCTCTTATTATAAAGCATACTCTCTCTGCTTTGTGTGGAGCTGCTGTAAGAAAGTGTGTGTGTGTCTCTTTCAGGATCAGAGTGTCTGTGCGCCATGAACACAACAGCAAACTCATCATCTCGTCCATCTCGCTACAGGCCGGTGAGTTCAGATCGTTTACTCAAACACTCTTCATGCCATCAGAACATGATGCAGTGTGGATTAGATGTTAGTATTTCTAGTACTGGATTAGTATGGAAGAAAGTATGGGAATATATTTGTTTTTACTTGGTCATTTAGTGAGCAGTGTTTTAAGAGAACGCTAGTAGCTACTAGCTTTACTACATTTTTCAGTATCTCAGTCGCTTCAACGCCAACCTCGGGTCACCCGGGACGTCGTTCACTGCTCTCCTCCTCATTCATATTTGGTAACACTTCACTTGAAGGGGTGTGCATAAGACTGACACAACACCTTCATAATCATTACATGACACATATCATGAATATGGTGGTGGTTTTGTGCATGTTTATGACAACTGTTTTCTACGGAAGCCCTGAAATGCAACATTAAAAAAAAATCTAGCGTTTTCATTCTTGAAACGTTTCGAGAATGAAGTCGCAACGTTTCGAGAATGAAGTCGCAACGTTTCGAGAATGAAGTCGAAACGTTTCGAGAATGAAGTCGCAACGTTTCGAGAATGAAGTCGCAACGTTTCGAGAATGAAGTCGAAACGTTTCGAGAATGAAGTCGCAACGTTTCGAGAATGAAGTCGCAACGTTTCGAGAATGAAGTCGCAACGTTTCGAGAATGAAGTCGCAACGTTTCGAGAATGAAGTCGAAACGTTTCGAGAATGAAGTCGAAACGCTTCGAGAATGAAGTCGCAACGCTTCGAGAATGAAGTCGCAACGCTTCGAGAATGAAGTCGCAACGTTTCGATAATGAAGTCGCAACGTTTCGAGAATGAAGTCGCAACGTTTCGAGAATGAAGTCGCAACGTTTCGAGAATGAAGTCGCAACGTTTCGAGAATGAAGTCGCAACGTTTCGAGAATGAAGTCGCAACGTTTTCGAGAATGAAGTCGAAACGTTTAGAGAATGAAGTCACAACGTTTAGAGAATGAAGTCGCAACGTTTAGAGAATGAAGTCGCAACGTTTAGAGAATGAAGTCGCAACGTTTAGAGAATGAAGTCGAAACGTTTCGAGAATGAAGTCGCAACGTTTCGAGAATGAAGTCGCAACGTTTCGAGTATGAAGTCGCAACGTTTCGAGAATGAAGTCGAAACGTTTCGAGAATGAAGTCGAAACGTTTCGAGAATGAAGTCGCAACGTTTCGAGAATGAAGTCGCAACGTTTCGAGAATGAAGTCGCAACGTTTCGAGAATGAAGTCGCAACGTTTCGAGAATGAAGTCGCAACGTTTCGAGAATGAAGTCGCAACGTTTCGAGAATGAAGTTGAAACTTCGACTTTAATCTCAAAATGCTGATTTTTTTTTTTTTTTTTTTTTCTTTACAGATTTTTTTTTTTGGTTGCGGTTCAGGGCTTCCGTAGTTTTCTGTTTAGCAATAGCTGAATCATTGAAGACTGAATAAATGCAGTTCACCTTTATTCCACAAAGTGGCAGTGTCTGAAACACAATGATGAAGTGACGTTTCACTCATAGTTACGGCAGGCAGAAAACAAAAGAATAGGAAGCATCATCAGCTAAACTTGAAATGGCTCAGCGATTTACTCAAATTATACCTTTTGTTCGATGTTACATTCATTTTACACTTTGACAGTCAGTTTAAGATATATGAGTATTGTGTGTCTTTTGAAAACATTCTTCACTAATATTTATTTATTTGTAAGAACTGTATAATGTCATTGTAGCTAGCTACTTTTTTATAGTAGCTTGTGGTGTAGTGGCCTGCTTTTCCAGAAGGGTAGCCTGACCGTATCTGAACCACTGTATCTTATGAGTAACTTGTCAAACTACAGTTTCAGAGTATCTTCCCCAACGCTGTTACTGACTGAATTCAAGGCGCGTGTTTATTATTCAGAAGTGTTTGTCTTGATCAGAAATGAGTGTGCAGTAGGGCTGGGCGAGATGGCCAACAACAAAAAATAATATGTCAGTATTTTTTGGGGGTTGAATGACAATATATTTTATATATATCTTGGAGAAAAAAAAAAGAAAGTTACGTAATTTTTCGATGTTAAATATGATCTGAAATATAAATTAGGGAAGTGTGGGAAAGAATTTGGACTGTGACCCGGACCAGTACAGTCCAGTAATGCTCTCAGAAGTGGTGTGTGTAGACATGATTCAGTGTGTTTGTGTTTGCGTCCGCCTCCAGATGATCACCAGCTGACCAAGCGTGGCTTCCTGACGCCGAGTGTGGCGCGAGAGCACATCACCAAACTCTGGGAGAACGACGGTGAGGTTTCATTCTAGGATTGCTAGTGTAAATAAAGCTTGTTTTCTGATGTGGATGGTTACGCTCCTCTAGGGTTCTTCCTGAAGCATCTGTTATCAGGCTTCAGCACGAGCGACTCGGGCTCAGACTTCAATCCCGATGCGTTCTTCCTGGATCTGCTGGTGGTTCCTCCATGCAAGTCAGTTTATGTCCAGCATTAGATGATTATGGAGTTTCTTCTTCTTACAGAGAGATGTTTAGCTGGTGATTGTGTGTGTAGGTTCAGGCCTGTTAATCGATTGGGAGACCAGATGTTCACCAACGGACAGACTGTTAACCTGCAGTACGTGATAAAGGATAATCACACCATCCAGAAGTTGCTCGCACTAATCGCTGCGGAGAAAAACAGCGCCGGGACGGATGAGGTGAGAAGAGGTTATGATTAATGCACTTCATTAATGGGTTTGAATCAGAGCATTTAGTGGATTGCATGAATCTTTCTTTGTGGATGTGGTAATTTTCAGAATTAAATGACAGCTGTGGAGTTTAATATAGTCATTTTTATGATGCATCGGACATTCATGCGTACCTAACTTCTTGAAAGTAGATATTTGGGCAAATTACAGAATATTACAAATACAAATTTGTAATACAGAATATACAAATTTTACAGAATATAAAGAAGGATGTACTTGATGACAGTCCCCCTGTGGTGTAAATCCAGCGTTTAATGTTGTTTATGTGTGTATGTGGTGTGTTTAATCCTCTTTAACACACACCATGTGTAAGTTGATAAGTGGACAGCATTGCTGAGTATTTCCTCCTTAAAACTGCAGTGAACCAAAGACAGTCTCAAAAACACGCTGGTGTTTCTGACGTCACAAACCACCTTGTAACCAATCAGATCAACGTGTGATCGCCAACCAGTGGATCTCTGAGTGGAGGCGGGGCTCATCTGCATATTCATAGAACCATGCATACTAAATGAGGCAAGGGTGTCGAGTTACATTCAAGATATATTAAGGCATGAAGAATTGTTTTTCGAGGGAAAATTTTTTAAATATATCTTTTTGGTGATCAAAGATGAGTTTTAAGGTATAAAATTATTGACCACAGGGGGACTTTAAGCACAATAAGCCATGAAAAAGTTCTTAATGTGCTGCTCGCGCTGACTCCCTCACACACACACACACACACATCGGAAGTGCCGCACAGAAAGACGCCTCTCTCAGACAGCAATTCTGAATTTAGCTCACTTTAGCGGCGTATTATTGTGCTTATGTCAAAATGCCCATCGTGTGAAGATCAATTATGTTCTTTGATAACAGGGTAAAATTCAGAACATCATGAATTTTCTTGAAGAAATGCTTCATAAATCATTTAAATTGATTAAATTTAAGTAATTTTCAGTGTATTTTGAGGAAAATATATATTTTTTGTATTTCATTTCAGTAGTTGTTTGTGTGTGTGTATTTTTTAATATCAGTAAATCAGTATTGGCAATTGAACATCCTATAATCGGCAACCAACCATCAGTTTGCCATGTGTGTGCATTATCTGTCAAGTCTCCTTCATTTATACAGTGCTTTTAACTAGGGCTGTGCAAAAATTAATTGCGATTAATCACATCCAAGATAAAAGTCTTTGTTTACATAATATATTTGTGTGTGCTGTATATAATTATTTTCTATATATAAATACCAATGCATGCATGTATATATTTAAGAATTATTTGCGCTTAAATCTGTATATATATATATATATATGAAGAGTTCAGATGCAAAAGCCTCTAAATGCCATTTGAAATTTTCTTCTTTAGTGATGATTTTTATGAAGCTTGTATATTTAAGTTCAGTAATTTCACTTAAATGGCAATGATTATTACCTATTAATTGTTATTTAAGTGAAATTACTGAACTTAAATATACAAGTTTGATAAAAATCATCATTAAAGAAGAAAATTTCAAATGGCATTTAGAGGCTTTTGCATCTGAACTCTTCATATATATAAATACATAATCTATATTATATAAATATATATGTTTTATATATGAATAACACATTTTCTTAAATGTATACATGCATGTGTGTGTATTTATATATACAAAATAATTATATACAGCACACACAAATATATTACGTAAACACAGACTTTTATTTTGGATGCGATTAATCGCAATTCATTTTTGCACAGCCCTACTTTTAACAATATAGATGTTTCACAGCAGCTTTACAGTGAGAACAGGAGATTACAATAACAGACTGTTGGGCTAGAATAAAATTATCGTCCAGATAAAGTTAGTTTTGATTGATTCACTTCCGATGTAAAGATCATTAGTTATTATCTTAGGGGCCGCTAACACGACACTGTTTTACTGAACACTTTTAATGTGTTCTGGACGTTCATCTGCTTGATTACAGTGTTCGGAGCTCGAGAACGCAAACCTAGAAACCGGTTCCTGGTGCAAGCGTTGAAAAACGTTATCATCTCCACACAAACTTCAAAATCGTGAATCTGTGATGCTACGTTCACACCGGACGCGAATCGCGCGTCAAATTCGCGCCTGACGCGTCTAGTTTGACGCTTGACCACTAGTGTTAATTCGCGTGTCAAGAGCGAAACTGCCGTGCGTAAAGTTTGAAGCGAAATTTACGCGCGTCAGAATCAAAATCCGTTGGCGGCCATTGTTTTTATGTCGACCGAGCATTCATCAAGAGAGTTACCGCTCTGTATTTACTCTGGAGAGCAGAACAGCGGCGTGGGGATCATCGTCGCCGTATATTTGTGTCCACCGGACCCTTCGGAGCCGAACCGTTTGGCGAGTTTCACCATTTGCTCGCTCCAGGAGCTGCGCTGGATGACGGCCGCTGTCAGCGGTACTTCCGCCTGTCACGCGCCCAGTTTGATGACCTGTAGTCCCGCATCTGAGCGAGGATCACCCTTGCCCTCATCCATCTAATCTGTCATTTATTTTTGTTTTGATGATAAATAGAGCCAGCCTTCAAAAGTTATTAACCTGTCCTGTGATTTTTTTTTTTTCTCTCTCTCACGTCCAGACACGAATTTATGCACATATGTTGATTGTCTTTACAACATAATACTATTTCTAGATATGGAATGAATAACATTCAATACAAAATGAACATGTCCCGTATATAGAAATAATGTTTTAAGTGATGAAACATTTGCTTTGTTGTGCATAATCCCACCATGCATTTAGTCATATTAACAAAATAATTTATTAAAGCATCCAGACACTTCACCACGTGAGCAAACAGCTAGGCTCCTGATTGGTTAACGCGGCGCGAATTCACGCCAAAGTTCAGATTTTTCGCGTCAAACGCGTGAATGCACAACGCTCAATTCGCGCCAACTTGACGCGCGAATGAGGCGTATTTGCGTCTTCCGCGCCGCGCTCGACGCCTCATTCGCGCCGCAGGAATTTTTCACGCGCGTAAAGCGTCTTTGCATTGACTTAACATTGAAATCATTCGCGCCTGACGCCCTATTCGCGTCCGGTGTGAACGTAGCATGAGACGCTGATGTTGCGTATCACATGTTCATCTATAGGTGTGCGCGTTTGCATATATATGCAGGCGTGTTGCCTTTCTTTACAAATTAACCTGAACAAATTACTTAATAAAACATTATTTTTGTGGCTTCCGTGTGTCGATGTGAACATGAATCAAATGTCCGCTAATCTGTGGTTTGTTCAGTGTGATGAAGCGACGGAGGCCAGCGAGATCGATCAGTCCTTCTTAGTGGGCATTACCGGAGTGACTCTCACAGACAAGCTGTACAGCACCTGGATCCGCCTGCAGAGCCACGTCAACATCGTGTTCGACAGCGACATGGACAAGCTCATGACCGAGAAGTTCCCCGGCGTCCGTCAGGTCAGTGTGCGACCCCGAGGGTCTGCGAAGTACAGCAGGAACACATCATGAGCTGGGAAATAATGTTGGTCTCTTCTGAATGTGTCCCTCAGCTCCTGGAGAAGAAGGAGGGCTTGTTCAGGAAGCACATGATGGGGAAGCGTGTGGACTTCGCTGCGCGCTCTGTCATTTGCCCTGATATGTACATCGAAACCAATGAGATTGGAATACCAATGGTGAGTTTGCTGACTTTAGCTTTCGCTAGTGGTTCTGTGTGATGTGTGCGGGATAATGAGTGGTCAGCTGATCAGCATTGCAGAATAAGCCCACTCTGGGTCGTCAGGCGGACTGGATGTTATTCTGCCTATATATGATATTACATGCTTCTCAGATGACAAAATAAGTACAGTTTACCTCAATCATCCAACTTAAGGGTAATTGATGTGTGTATGTAAACAGCCGTAATGTGAAACTGCTTAGGCAGGACATTACTAAATAAAATAAATATTTGGTAACACTTTACTTGAAAGGGTGTGCATAAGACTGACATGACACCTTCATAATCACGACACATGTGGGACAGTTTATGATTGAAATGTGAGGCTTTGAGACTGCCTTGACGTGTGTCCTCTAGGTGTTCGCCACGAAGCTGACGTACCCGCAGCCGGTGACGCCCTGGAACGTGAAGGAGCTGCGGCAGGCGGTGCTGAACGGGCCCGATGTGCACCCCGGGGCCTCCATGGTGATCAACGAGGACGGCTCGCGCACCATCCTCAGCAGCAGCAGCGCCACCCAGAGGGAGGCGGTGGCCAAGCAGCTGATGACGCCCACCACCGGCCAGCACAAGATGCCCATGAAGATCGTGAGTCCGCCGAACCGACACCAGTGCGATCCGGATAGGCTTTACATGACGCGTTGTACAATCACTGATATTTATTTGATCATATGTTATTTAATGTCTGAGATAAAACACATATAATCTCCCAGCATCAGCTGTAACATGCAAGCCTGTGAACAGTGGAGGAAAACTAACACTGGCTTTTAGGGGGGATAGATACAAAAATATGGAAGAAATCGATTCTTGAATGGATTTTGAATTGACAACATTAAAAAAAAAACTATTAATTGAAAAATCTGGGGTTTTTTTTGCCCAGCTCTACTCGCCACTAGATGGAGCTTAAAATTACACAGTGCACCTTTAACATAGTAGCTTTGAATGACGCTTACTGTCGACTTTAAAATGCCATGCCCCCATGTCATCCAAGATGTCCATGTCTTTCTTTCTTCAGTGGAAAAGAAATGAAGGTTTTTGACAAACATTCCAGGATTTTCTCCATATAATGGACTTCAATGGGAACCAAACGGTTCAAGGTCCAAAAGACAGTTTCAGTGCAAACTGTTCAAAGGGCTTTAAACGATTCCAGACGATGAATAAGGGTCTTCTCAAGCAAAACGATCGCTCATTTAATAAATAAATATTAAATTAAATTGTTCATCAAAATGAACAATTCTTTTTCTGAGTCATTTGGTTCATTCAACGAACTAAATGAATGAGTTGACTTGGGAAAAGATTCGTTCATTTTGATGAACGAGTTCGAACAGGAGAGTCACGAACGCGCATCACAGAACAGAGCAAGGCGAGCATTTGAGCTTATAAAACTTAAACTTTGTTATTTATTTATTAAATGGCCGCTCGTTTCGCTTGATAAGACCCTTATTCATCGTCTGGAATCGTTTAAAGCCCTTTGAACAGTTTGCACTGAAACTGTCTTTTGGACCTTGAACCGTTTGGTTCCCATTGAAGTCCATTAAATGGAGAAAATCCTGGAATGTTTTCATCAAAAACCTTAATTTCTTTTCGACTGAAGAAAGAAAGACATGGACATCTTGGGCGAGTAAATTATCAGCAAAGGTTTTTTGAAAAGTGAACTACTCCTTTAATGTTATTTGAGGATCTGATGCATTGAGGAATGTCTCCTTCAGGTGAATCGCCACATCAGGAACGGGGACGTGCTTCTGTTGAACCGCCAGCCCACTCTGCATCGGCCGTCCATCCAGGCCCACAACGCCCGGATCCTGCCCGGGGAGAAGGTGCTCCGCCTCCACTACTCCAACTGCAAGGCCTACAACGCGGACTTCGACGGGGACGAGATGAACGCCCACTTCCCCCAGAGCGAGCTGGGCCGGGCCGAGGCCTACACACTCGTGAGCACGGACCAGCAGTACCTCGTGCCCAAGGTGAGTGCGCTTCGAGATCTGTTTTCACCGGAAAAGTTTACATTAAATGTTTGTTTTTTAGTTAGCATTAACTACTAATGAACTGCAATTATACAGCATTCACTAATCTTTGTTCATGTTCATTTCATCATTTATGAATACTTATTAAAATCTTGTTAAGGTGTGTTAAAGTGATCGTTCACCCCAAAATATAAACTCTGTCAGTAATGACTCCCCCTCATGTTGTTCAACCCCGCAAGATGTTTGGAACACAAATAAAGACATTAATGATTAAATCTGAGAGCTGGATCACTCCTCCATAGGCTTCTGATGTCATTGAAACTTGCCGGCCCAGAAAAGTTATTAAAGACATCGTTAAAATAGTCCGAGTGACGACAGCGGCTCAACCTTAAGATTATCAAGCGACGAGAACACTTTCTGTGCGCAAAAAACAAACATGCGAGTCAAAAACAATTCCCACTGAAGATGATTGTCCATTTCGCTTAAGATCGTCACCAAATGCATTTTGTTCATCTTTGTGAATTTGAGGCAAATTGTAAAGCACTTAGGTGGCCATTGGGTCTATGAAAGTGCTATATAAATGCAGTCCATTTACCATGTGTGGTAACACTTTACTTGAAGGGGTGTGCAAGTTGTGTGTATTAGGCTTGCCGCGATAGACGGTGTTGACGGTGTTACCGGTTTTAAGCCCCATCACCGGTGACATCACTTTCCCACCGTGACACCGCGATGTCTTGACTTTTTTTTTTTAAAGTATTCGTTTTTGCTAAAATATTTATTTGAATTAATTAAAAATAATAATTTTCAATTATTTAGTTCTGAAGAGAGCATTATAATTAAAAATGAACTGCGCAACGCGTGCCGTCACGTCACAGATCAGCAAGCATCAGGATTCCATTTAGCACGTGTGGAGACGAGAACGAGTCAAATTACAGAAAAGCAAGATAATGGCGGAAGATTTGGTGTCAAAACGCAATGCAAAAGCGCCTGTTTGGCAATATTTTGGCCAATATATATTAATGTTAATAAATGCCAATTTATAGTGTTTTACTTTTTTTTAGAGTGCTGTCATTTATGTAGGCTAAGGTCCTTTTTAAAGTTTTTATTTTATATTCGTCTCTTTTTATTTGGTTTTATCTTATTTAAACTTTGTTTAATTTATTTAGGCCTATTTTGTTTTCTTATTCGTTAATAAACATTTTATTTTTTTTGGGCCCACAGTTTGCCGATTTTCACCTTTTTCAGCCTATGCATGGGGTTATTTTTATTCGTTCGTTATGCTAATAAAAGTTCTGTCTATATTTTATTCGTTTATTATTCTAATAAAAGTGCTGTCTAAATAAAAGTTTATTGTCAGGGAGTTGTTTTTTTTTTTTTTTTTGTCCATTCCAGCAATTGACGCTGAATTGCAATTGACGCTTATTTCGAAAGTGAAAGTATGTCATTTATGTATAGGCTAAGGTCCGTTTTGAAGTTTTTATTTTATATTCGTCTCTTTTTAATTGGTTTTATCTCATTTAAACTTTGTGTAATTTATTTAGGCCTATTTTATTTTCTTATTCGTTAATAAACGTTTTATGGTTCTTATTTGTTTGGGCCCACATTTTGCCGATTTTCACTTTTTTCAGCCTATGCATGGGGTTATTTTTATTCGTTCGTTATGCTAATAAAAGTCTATAAATAAAAGTTTTATTATCAGCGAGTTGTTTTTTTTTTGTCCATTCAAGCAATTGACGCTTATTTCGAAAGTGAAAGTATAACGCGCACGCATTTAAAAGCTATTTAACCCCCCCGCCCTGCCCTCCACGGTGACACCGGGATTACCGGTGTTGTCACACGTCGATTAACCGGTGGGAAATTTTCCTCACCGCGGCAACCCTAGTGTGTATTTGTCCATTCAGACAGTAGCGCGCTGTATAGGTGTGTGTGAATGGCTGCACGCTTCAGCTCGGGTGTGTGCGCCCAGAAAACCTGATAGAGCTCTTTTTTTGTGTCGTCCCTCTTATTCAGATCCATATGTCTGCTCTACTCATTCTCCCAGACGTTTACATTTTTTAATGTTTTATGAGGCCGTGGGGTGGACAGGGTTTCCGCGGGGTCTTAAGAAGTCTAAAATTCTGAACTTTAAATTTACGGCCTTAAAAAGTCTTAAAAACGGCTAGATTTTCATCTGAGGTCTTAAATTGGATTTAGTCAGGTCTTAAAAAGATTTTACCCTCGTTCATTTGCCAAAACTCTTGCCGCAGGAAGTTATTACAAAGTAGAAAAAAGTATTGAGTCGTAGCCTACAAAGCGGAGCTCTAGTGCAGGGGTTTTATATAGGCGCGTCACATCCACAGCGAGATTGAAAACATCTCACCATTTCAGATTCAGAATGCCGCAAATGAACCGAAGAACCAACCAATCAGCCCTTTCCGTAACAACATTGAAAGCTCAGTCATCATGACGGATCGCGGTGCGCCCAAACACTACCGGCGTTTTTCTCTTCTCCGTGAATAAATCTTGTAGCAGAGCTAACGTTACAGCAAGCGTTTCTCGGTGGTGGAAATCCATTAGCTACTAAAACGTCATGTCGTTATGGAGAGCGCAGTTCATGGTTGCTTAGCAACGTCAGACGCAACAGGAAAATCGGCTGAAATTTACTATCAATAATAAAAGATAAGGGGATCTGAATGTCAGTAATTTATCATTTTTTGACTCAATCTTTTTATAAAAGATTATTTAAAGGCTGAAATACGTGAGGTTTATCTGTTTATAAAACTATTTTTGTGAAGACTTTATTTTAACTAGACTTAACCTGTTGCAAGACACTCCTTTAAAATCTGGCCATCATTTTTAATGGTATTTTAATGTTTATGTAAACAAAAAGTGCATATTCATGCTAATTTTATTTATTTGCTGGGTTTAGACATACATTTGGCAAATTGATTTCATAATAATCATGAAATGAATTGTTCATGCCATTTCATCTCTAGGTATGATCAACTAAAATCAGCTATAATTGTGTTTTTACAGTATAAAATGCAAAGTACAAATTTCACCTACACACACACATATAAAATATTTTTTTACAAATATTTTTTTTATTTTTATTTAAATATTTGGTCGTGTAGGTCTTAAATTTCAATGTTTATGGTCTTAAAATGTCTTAAAAAGGTCTTAAATTTGACTTCTACTGAAACCTGCAGAAACCCTGGTAGATCAACACACGTTACAGTACATGCACATCTACCACACACACAGGACATCAGTTCTGGATCACTTCCCAAATCGTTACTATCTAACATTTTCCTCTAGTTTGCATTCGTTGACGAAAAATGTCAATGAATTTCCGTAAAGAGTTTGTGTCATTTAAAACTAGGTTTTATTTAGTTACCGTATAATTTTTCAGGAAAAAATGTCGTTTACGAATAATTTTCGTCAACGGAATTAACACTGGTCTATGCACAATAACTAGTAAATAAATGTATTATAAATACTGTGTAAATAAAATTTAGGACCATAAAATACCCTAAAAATGTGAAATATTAAATAAAAAAAAAACATTATCGAACTGTAATATAGTACATATTTCTCAGTAAATGTATTTTTGTCCGACCTGTGAAGATGTTGTGTGATGTTGTGAGCGCTTCACTGATCCTGCTGTTCTCCTTCAGGACGGGAAGCCGCTGGCCGGCCTGATCCAGGACCACATCGTGTCCGGCTCCAGCATGACCATCCGCGGGTGTTTCTTCACACGGGATCAGTACACGGCTCTCGTCTACCGAGGCCTGACGGACCGGAGCGGCCGGGTGAAGCTGCTGCGGCCCGCGCTCATCAAACCCGTGCAGCTCTGGACCGGGAAACAGGTGATGTCACATCATCAGCACACACTAGGGCTTTTGGAACGAATTCCGAAATTCGAATATAATTCGAATATTAAAAAAAAATCAATACTATTCGAATGCTAAAGTTACTATTCGAATATTGCTTTTATATATATTTAAAAATAAATATATACTTCCGAAGTGATCAGGTTTGAACGGCCCCTTATCGCTTTCTTATTAACAATAGGAGAGCGCGGGATTAGCTTTCGCGCGGCACATTCACAAGGTCTCGTTCACGCCGCGCGCAATGAACGTTATGCGTGGATTCCGGGAGATTTTAACTAATTTGCGGCCATCAGGGAGACGCTATCAATAAGCGGGAGACTCCCGAAACTTCCGACGCGATATGACGATCACATCACCCCAGATCTGAGCCCCTATTTATCAAGCCAACGCGCCGCAATCTAGCGCAAATCAAAGTGAAAGTAAGTCGCAGACGCTTAACACGACCATCTTCATTAAAAGTAAAGGAATGAACTGATATTACCAGGGCTGTTGCTGTTCTCCCTTATTGCTGTCTTTGCTGATTTTGAAATTAGCCGATGATCAATAAAATGCAGCTCAAATCTGTTGCTTTCGGTGACGTGCGCTTCAGTACATCTGCATATAGCGCGGGGATTGAAGATCGGATTTATATCCGTTTTGCAAAACCACATTTATGTGAGCAGGTGTAAGGAATCGTTTTGATTAAATCAGAGCTATCCGATCTGAAGTGGCCAGGTGTAAACAGCCCATAAATGTTTATTGTAGAAATGTTAGATGTCCCTCTAGTGGGCCGAACTTGTAACAACAACCACAGGCTATAGTGGCATTGACGATCCACAAGAATGTGTAATGTCGTAAATATTAATAATAGGATAAATTTGAGCATTTAATATTCGAATATTACGTAAAATAAGGAATGGAATTCGAATAGTATTATAGAGGAAGATTGACAGCCCTAGCACACACACTCCGCTATACCGACGGCACATCTGCACAATTTATTTATTTATTTATTTAGAAAAGGGACAGTGTACATTAATAAACATTCTTAAATGTAAATGTACCCAAATTAGCCCAAAGGCTAGTTTTCATTGGTAGTCCCTTTGCCAGATGTTATTAGGCTCTTAACTAAAAAAAAAAAAAAAAAAAGAGTTAAACATTACAGCAATACAACAGTCATAAAACTAGAAGTATACAAAAAGAATATATATATATATATGAAGAGTTCAGATGCAAAAGCCTCTAAATGCCATTTGAAATTTTCATCTAAAATGACCATTTTTATCAAGCTTGTATATTTAAGTTCAGTAATTTCACTTAAATGACAATTAATAGGTAATCTTCATTGCCATTTAAGTGAAATTACTGAACTTAAATATACAAGCTTGATAAAAATGATCATTTTAGAAGAAAATTTCAAATGGCACTTAGAGGCTTTTGCATCTGAACTCTTCATATATATATATAGACACAATTAAAAAAAAAAGAAATTAAAATATTTTAATTAAATATGAATGAATAGGTCTATAGAATTAATAATAAGGTTAGTAATAATAATAATAATAGAGAAGCAGCGTTAATGTTCACAGTGTTGGTTATGTAGAAGCCATTTCTTAAAATTAAGCTTAAAAGAGTTAAATGATGAGCACTCTCTAATTGGTTGAGGTACAGTATTCCACTGATGTGAAGCTTTGTATGAGAAAACAGCTTGACCGAACGATGTTTTCCTACGTGGAATTATACAGTCCGCTCTAATTGCACCTCTTGTAATTCTGTTTTCAACAGATTTAGATTTAATAAAATCTGCCAAAGGAGGTGGAGCCAAACCATGCATAATCCTATAAACTAAACAAACATTTTTAAATTTGATAAGGTTTTCCCAGTTAAACAGGTTATACTTATTTAAAATTTGACGGTGATGAAAACTAAATTGTTTTTTATCTAAAATTTTTAGTGCTTGTTTGTATAGTGATTCTAATGGTTTTAGGACTATCAAATGTGTGTTTGACCAGCTTGTCAAACAATGCCGTCTTGGTGAGCGTAAGAGACTTCTTACTGAAAAATCGTACCGATCCCAAGGGTTTGACCAGTGGTGTGTGTGTGTTGAGACTCCCGAATGCACTCTCCCAGTAGCCCGTAAACTGATACTTGAACATTGTTGTTGTGTTTTCAAGGTGGTGTCAACCCTCTTGCTGAACGTCATCCCAGAAAACTGCATCCCTTTAAACTTGACGGGAAAGGCGAAGATTCCCAGTAAAGCCTGGGTGAAGGAGCCTCCCAGATCTGTTCCCGGATACAGTCCCGAGTCTATGTGTGAATCCCAGGTGAATATACTGACAGGGCTTCAGTCTATACACAGTTTGAGGAGAGAAACTGGTCTGTACACGGCCTACATTTGTTCTTGTTCGTAAAGCCGTTTCGCATAACCCCATTTAGGGATGGGACGGTATGAAAATTTCATATCACGATTATAGTGTCCACAATTATCGCGATTATCAATATTATCACGGTTTTCTTAAATTTAGATATAAAGTGTTCAAAATATATAGTGTAAAAATATAAAATATAAATAAAGTGTTCAAAAAGAACTGATGCTCACACTGAAAACATTTCAACAAGTTTTATGAATGAAAATCAACAAACAACAAATAAACAAGCAGCTCTATGCAGTTTTTTTTTAAGCAAGATTCTATTCTATGGCATTTCCTTCTTTATAATGGCCGTCGTCAATAGCAACGCATTATTACACACACCGCGCACATCAATATCACAACGGACACGCGCTCGTTTAATTCAAATACAACTTGCCGGCCGTCTTGCGTCTCCAGTTTTTGATTGTTTTGAAAATGAAATCAGAGTTGATTTATTGTTTACAGAGTTTGATAATATTGGTGTGATCATCTTGTCTGGACGATTGTTTTACTAAATGAATTTATAAACGGGTAAGATTTAAAACATTAGCTGAACTCATTATCAAGTCAATATGTCCCCGTAATTATGTGGTAAAAATAAAATCGGTGTAATACGTGATGTATCTATACATTGCTATCCCTTAAAACGTCACTCTTAATAATAATCTTATTTGAAGATGTTCGTTCGTCGGCTCAAAGACACTTGCTGCAAAATTTTCTTCGCGGAAGCTTCACTTCTATTCCAAGTGAGTGACATAAAATGTTTAAACTCAAAACAACATTTCGTGCCCAATTGTTTCCCAGACCTAGTTTCGGTATTGAAGTCAAAGTTAACTTGCCTTGCGTTCGCTATACAACAGCGGGTGATGGTTACACAAGAAGACGACTCGGCAGATTTTAAGTGTTTCTTTTGGACAGTGACTTTTTGCTCTGCAGACAGGGTGACTATCCTCGATCAAGTTTCCCTCAGGACTTTTGTAAAAGCCTAAATATGACCACACTCCAGATTTGGTCCTCTTAAAAGCACGGTCACTGCCTTCCACCTAGGGGTGGGCGATATGGAAAAAATATCATATCACGATTTTTTTAGGAAAATCACGATCACGATTTTTTATCACGATTCTTTTTCAAGTTGGTTTTAATATTTTGCAAGTGGCTGTTCATTACAGCCAAACTAATGTCCTTATGTTAAAAACAAAGCCTTAGGGATCAAAGGCATACATTTAGGCCAGTGGCGAAGATAAAAATCTTTGTCATCATTTTCTTTGTTATTAAAAAAATAAGACAAGATAAACATTACACAAATTAATATTCAAATTAAATAAATAGTGCTTTATTTTTCAGATGCACTAGGTGTATTTAGCAGTAGCATTGAAGAAAGTAATTAAATTAAACAAATATGAAATTAAAACACTACAGAGACTTCACTGAATGAATTGATTCTTATTAAAGCTACTATTAAAGTTCTCAGTCAGTGAGTGATTTTCTCCTTGTGTTTTTTTTTTTTTTTTTTACTAAAGAGATAGTTCCCTCAAAATGAAAATGGTCTTAATTTACTCTCTCAAGATGTTTTAAACCCGAATAAGTTTCTTTCTTCTGTTGAAAATAAAAGTTATTTTGAATAATGTGGGTAACCGAACAGTTGCTGGTCCCCCTATAGTTTTTTATTGGTTCTCTCCTGTAAGTTAATGGGGACCAGCAACTGTTTGGTTACCCACATTAAAAAAAATCGTCTTTTGTGTTCAGCACAAGAAAGAAATTAATACAGGTTTGGAACAACATTAGAGTGAGTAAATAATGACAGATTATTATTATTATTATTATTATTATTTTGTGAACTATCCCTTTAAGGACATGCGGCAGTACTATTTATTCCTGTGGCTTTTAGACCAGCACGCGACGTGTTTAATATAGACGCATCTTACACCAGATATTCTCTCAAATGTTTGCTTTCACTTTAGACATAGCCTGTTTATGTAAACATTGTGTGTATTTAACAGTATTAGCATAATAAGACTCGAAAGATAACTTAGTCCAGTACAGGCGCTGTTTGACAGACTTCTAGTGCCTGCATGTGATTGTCGGGGGTAATTTATGCGGTCAGGAAAGCGCACGTTAGAACAGCGCATCAGCGCGTGAATTAAATGTTTAACCGGCAAGGCTTATGCAAAAATGAACTTTTGTGAATTGCAGTGTCCCATACCTATTCATTAACGTGTGATCATGTGTAGGCTACGTCGCGTTGTACAGTTGAGACGGGGCGCCAGAACTGAACTGATAGAATGCACTGTAACACGATACTACGATATTTCTTCAAAAGCAGATCGTGGAGACATTTTAATCGTCCACGATTAAAAATCGTCATATCGCACACCCCTACTTCCACCATTCCTTCTCGAAAAGTAAACATTGCGTGCAGCGCGCGGCTTCGTCAGACTGGCCGACAGGATTTACAGTGAGTTATTAATCGTGATAATCAAACATGGTTTTAATGATAATTACATTTTAAACGATATTACTAACCGTCAGTATATTTTATCGTGGTTTATCGCGAAACCGGTTATCGTCCCATCCCTAACCCCATTATTGCATAACGCCTGTATGGACGGGGTATATTGGGGGTCACTCATTACAAGCAAGAGTTATGTAATCAGATTACTTTTTCAAGTAACCAGTAAAGTAATGCATTACTTTTAAAATATACAACAAATATCTAATTTATTTTTTTAAAGAAAGAAACGCATTTGACTTTGTTTTCCCATTTACTGGCTGACAGCTCTCCTGTTATCATGTTGAGACAAATCGAAGTGTGTGTGTGTGTGTGTGTGTGTGTCAGGTGGTGATCCGCCAGGGCGAGCTCCTGATGGGGGTTCTGGATAAGGCTCAGTACGGCAGCTCGGCGTACGGCCTGGTCCACTGCTGCTACGAGCTGTACGGCGGACAGACGAGCGGGAAACTGCTCAGCTGCCTCGCGCGACTCTTCACCGCTTTCCTGCAGCTCTACCGCGGCTTCACCCTGGGTAACACACACCGCCCTGGGTAACACACACACCCCTGGGTAACACACACCGCCCTGGGTAACACACACCGCCCTGGGTAACACACACACACACGCCCCTGGGTAACACACACCGCCCTGGGTAACACACGCCCCATGCCCACGTTTAGCGGGCTCATAAACACCTCTGATTGGCCGTTGTGTTCACGAGCTCATCTGTGATTGGCTACCGTGATCAGCGCTGATGGACTCCTGCTGTCAGACGCTGGCGTGTGTGTCTGTGCAAGCGCTCGCTGATGTTCATTTACAACATGTTTCTGAACCGCTGATCATTGTAGCCAATCACAGACATATCTGATGAGCTTGTGAACACAACGGCCAATCAGAGGAGTTTACGAGTCATCAGCGCTCAAAGCGGCGCAGTTTAAAAAATTTTTGGTACCAAAGTCGCTACTTTTAACGACATCACATCGTCACACACCGCTCATCTGCGACACACACTGCCGCCTCGCTCACGCTCAGACTGAGGACTTGTGTTTGACTCTCGTGTGCTCCTGACAGGTGTGGAGGACATTCTCGTCAAAGATGGAGCCAACAAACTACGAAGGAAAATGATCCAGAAGTCAGTCTCATGCGGCTCCAAGGTACATCGCTCTATCATTACCATCGAACTGTGTGACTAACTAAAACATGTATATATGCTAGGCTGCACGATTAATCGTTAAAAGATCGCCATCTTGATTCAGACACACTCGATCTTATTCCTAAATATCCCTAAATGACAAACCTATAATCACAGGAGCGTTCAGATGTGTGTCCTGATCCAGAGCCGTCGTCATGTGTAGATATGAAACCGCTTCACTGACAGTCTTATAATAGTTCATATTATCACAGAAGCGCTGGGGTAAAAGTTTATTGTTCAGATATAAACACTGGTGTCAACAATTATGGTTAAAATAGAGAAAATGTCAATACATTTTCGTAAAGAGTCTCTTAAAACTACGTTTTATTTAGTTACCGTCTAATTTTTCTGAAAAAATGTCGTTGACGAATATTAACACTGGTCTATGCTCAATAAGTAAATAAATGTATTATAAATACTGCGTAAATATAATTTAGTACCATAAAATCCCCTAAAAATGTGAAATATTAAATAAAAAATATTATCGAACTGTAATATAGTACATATTTCTTATGAAAGTAACTTGAGTCCTCGAATAAAGATTGTATCAATTACATCATTACACCAGTAGGTGGCGACGCGTGGCTGTTAGCCCTCTGGTGCTCTTCGCCTGTCGAAAAATTACAGATTATTTTCTGTATTTATTTTCCAATGAGATGAATGTACTGTATTTCAGTTCAATTTTGTTTTTATTTTATGTTTTGCATTTATAGGGAATTTTATGGTGCTAAATTACAGTATATTTACGATGTATTTATAAAACATTTATTCTCTTTTTGAGCATAGACCTGAAAATAAAATTTCCAACTTAAACTGTGGTAAATAGTGGGAATGCTTTAGAGCGACAGACTTCAAAGACGACACTTTGCTGAAGTGCAAAAAAAGTTTTACAAAGTCGCCCTGTAGTCAATCATTTTATCCCTTAAAACTCATCTTTGATCACTAAAATGACATTTTTAAAAGTTTTTTCCTTAAGAAAATGTCTTAAATACCTTAAAATATCTTGAATGTAACTCGACACCCTTGCCTCATTTAGTATGCGTGGTTCTATTAATATGCAAATGAGCCCCGCCCACACTCACTCACTCACTTTTTGATGATCACACGTTGATCTGATTGGTTCCAAGGTGGTTTGTGACGTCAGAAACACCAGCGTGTGTTTTTGAGACTGTCTTTGGTTCACTGCAGTTTTAAGGAGGAAATAAATGTGTTAAAGCGGATTAAACACACCACATACACACATAAACAACATTAAACACTGGATTTACACTACAGGGGGACTTTAAATCAACATTTTACGTTTTTGGGTTGAAGAAGAAATGATGAAACGCTTCTGAATAAAGTGTCAGATGTGTCAAAGATGTTTAACGATATCCAATATAGAATGAGGGGTATGATATTCATTACCTCTCATGTTTGAACACAGGCTCTCCGGGCCGCGTTTAACCTGCCCGCGTCCGCCGGAGACGCCGAAGCCCGAGAGCGCTGGCAGGACGCACACCTCAACACAGACCAGAGAGACTTCAACATGGTGGACCTGAAGTTCAAAGAGGAGGTCAATCAAGTGAACAACAACATCAACAAGGTGACCCTTAATAATCAGAGCTCATATCAGAATGTCTCGCTGTGGAAGCTCGATCGCTCTCCTAACGGTGTCCTCTCGCCGTCAGGTGTGCATGCCGCTGGGTCTCCATCGCTCCTTCCCAGAGAACAACCTCCAGCTGATGGTGCAGTCCGGGGCCAAGGGCTCGACGGTCAACACCATGCAGGTGATGTTTCTCTGAACTCGAGTGAGTGAGACTGCAGTTCCTCCACTGGCCACTAGAGGCGCTGCGGAAGAGACTCAATCCCATAAACCCCCATGTTAAAATGACCAACTTTACAGCAGAAATAAACATGTTTACAGTCTGGTGCCCAAAGTGTTTTTGGTCTATATCGCTAATTTTGCCCTTCATGAAAACTGTGAGAGGGTGTATTTTTTTTATAACTCATCCGTTTAAATTATTTCACGCCTTAAAGTTGTGCATAATTAAGGGCGTGGCCACTTGAGTGACGGGTGGATTGCTCTGATGTCACCACTAGCTGTGTGTTAGCGCCACGTCACCTCAGCTAATCCCGCCTCGCTGCATATTTTCGGTTATCCAAGATGGTGACGACGGCTCCGCCCACTTTAGGCGTCAATAATGCTCTTCAGAAACCCTACGGGTGACATCACACACACTACACACATATTATACAGTCCATGGTCTGAACACAGCAGATTTTGTATTACTTTTGCTCCTGCGCATCCATAAAAAGTAGTCTAACAGAAGACTTGATTATTTCAAGGGGTCTTGGATTTGGGGACAGAAAAACATGACTGTGATAATCAACTAGTTTAACAGTCCCATTAAGATATTGTTTGATCCCTGGTTGGTATTGTCCGGTTAAAGCAGATGTTATGGTTGTGATCGTCGTCTGACCAGTGTTCCTGTGTTCATGTGCAGATCTCCTGTTTACTGGGCCAGATTGAGCTGGAGGGCCGCCGGCCACCACTGATGCCTTCTGGGAAATCCCTGCCCTGCTTTCAGCCCTATGAACCGCAGCCGCGCTCCGGAGGATTCGTGACCGGCAGGTTCCTGACAGGGATCAAGCCTCAGGTGCGTTCAGACTGGGTTGTGTTGCGTCCCGCGTGAGTCTAGGGGTAAAGAAAATTAACATATTTAAAAAACTTTTGCTGATAATTTACTCGCCCCCGTGTCATCCAAGATGTCCATGTCTTTCTTTCTTCAGTCGAAAAGAAATTAAGGTTTTTGATGAAAACATTCCAGGATTTTCTCCATATAATGGACTTTAATGGGGACCAAACGGTTCAAGATCCAAAAGACAGTTTCAGTGCAAACTGTTCAAAGGGCTTTAAACGATTCCAGACGATGAATAAGGGTCTTATCAAGCGAAACGATCGCTCGTTTAATAAATGAATAACAAAGTTTAAGTTTTATAAGCTCAAATGTTTATGTGTGTTTTAAGTTTATGCGTGTTCGTGACTCTCCTGTTCGAACTCGTTTATCAGAATGAACGAATCTTTTTTCGTGTCATTCATGACTTGGAAAAAGATTCGTTCGTTTTGATGAATGAGTTCGAACAGGAGAGTCACGAACACTCATCACAGAACAGAGCGAGTATTTGAGCCTATAGACCATTTCACAAGATGTAAACAACACTGGTCCAGAAGCACTTCCTGTTTCAGTTTTTTAACACTACATAAAAGCTGGGATAAAATACAACCAACAGAACATGTAAAACTGAATCAAAAAGTTAAACAAAGATATTTAAGATGTTTTCTTTACATGTGAAATATAAAGAAAACAGTTACAAACTGAAACAGGAAGTGCTTCTGGACCAGTGTTGTTGGTCTATAAAACGTAAACTTTGTTATTTATTTATTTATTAAACGAGCGATCGTTTCGCTTGATAAGACCCTTATTCATCGTCTGGAATCGTTTAAAGCCCTTTGAACAGTTTGCACTGAAACTGTCTTTTGGACCTTGAACCGTTTGCAGTGTTTCCCCTACAATGTATTCAGCAGCGGCGCAGCGCCGCCGCTGGATTTTCAGCGCCGCCGCAAAATCTTTTCATGATCAGCAATATCATGACATTCACTTAATTCACTTATACACCTAAAAACACAGACATGGCGACCGGCAGCGCTGCTAATGTGGCTCTGAATCCACTTGTTGACAAGAACGGAGGAAAGAGCCATATATGGAAATATTTTCGATTAGGCTAATGTCACGTTGCCATAAGGGGCCGTTCGTTAATTTAAATAAGCCATACGCGCTCCACTCAGAATAGAAGTGACGCGGTGGCGGCGCGCTCGTTTATCCAATCGCGCCTCTGTTCAAGGTTGCATAGCAACGAGAGACTCCACGGGACAGCGAGCAGGAGAAAGCGGTACGAACTGTTTCCATGAGCCGGACGAGGAAGTATCACCTACTGCTCATAGTCCTGATCTCTCTTCCGGCTTAATAATACGAGTCACAGCGCCAAATAAACATGAATGAGCATCTGAAAGTGTGTTAAAGATAGAGGATAACTTATCCAAATCCGGATCATGTCACATTGATTCGCTCAATCAGCGTTTCAACCGTGGAAAGACGTCAGTTAAACAGCTTGTAATCAATGTCATCGTCATTTTTACCTCAGAAAACCCACATAAACTCGTTAGTCAGCTAGAATAAATAACTCTAGAGAGGAGCATTTTGCTAAATATATACACCATATTACATATGCATTATAATCTTAATGTTCTTCAATATTTAATGCATATTTGAATAAATCTGGCAAGTTTTTATGACAGCCACCATTTAAATGTTTATATAATCTTCTTATTATAATAATAAATAAAAGTGTAATTTAAGTGTTTGTATAGCTACAAAACAGTTCATTATTACCTTCATATTAGGCTAATGAAGCCTATAGGCTACAACTAGACTCCCATAGTTTACAGCATTAGTTAAGAGATTTGATTTCCTTGAGAAAATTAGCCATTTATTGTAACTGTCTGATATCAAAAATAATTAATATTGAATCGAAACGGAATCGAAATCTAATCGAATTGCAAGCTTATGAATCGAAATCGAATCGAATTGTGAAATTTGTGTCAATACCCAGCCCTACATTCTAATATAATGATATCTGCTCTTTTTTTTAAAGTTTCTTTTATTATTAAAAAATAACATCATGTAATAGTATTTCACAATATTAGGCTACTGTTTTTTCTGTATTTTTGATTAAATAAATGCAGGCTAGATGAGCATAAGGCTTCTTGCAAAAACATAAAATAGTATCACTGTCACTCACACACATCTGAAAAATGCTCACAGATTGGGTGTGGCCTTTGCCATTAAGAAAAAATGTTCAATAAATTGTAAATAATCTTTTTCTGGGTTGTGACGTTTCATTTTTCCCCTATCAATTTCTACATTTTAGTTTGAGTTTTAAAACTTACAGGTTATTTTTTATAGTATAACGACCTCTTAACTGTCAAAATATCATTAAAGCTACATTATGTATTTTTCTCCGCCGCTAGGGGTCGCTTTAACCTCTTACAATAACAAAGGCGTAGGTTTAGGACGCAGTGAATAAGCGTAATGATGGAACTTGTCATGCAGATGGATCTAATGTGTATGGAAAATGTATTTACATTTTTCAAACTCATGGTTGAAGGGGTTATTTAAAAAAAATTCTCCCGGAGGTGCAATTCCCCAAACCGCACACGGCCCTGCCCACCGCGGCTTGGTAACAACCTCCGGCACCTAACAGCACCGCTGCTGAAAAAATTTCTAGGGGAAACACTGGTTTGGTTCCCATTGAAGTCCATTATATGGAGAAAATCCTGGAATGTTTTCATCAAAAACCTTCATTTCTTTTCCACTGAAGAAAGAAAGACGTGGACATCTTGGATGACATGGGGGTGAGTAAATTATCAGCAAAAGCTTTTTTTTAAAAGTGAACGACTCCTTTAAGAGCGTTGATCTGAGTCCTGCCACAGCACCACAAGCAAACTGATTATTGTAAAGGTTTTTTTTTAATTATTATTAGCTCATGGATCAAGACAAGGTATAATAGAAAAATAAACTTTAACGGAAGCGATGGCTTCAGAAAAGAAGGGCAAGGCCAAAATATCAAACAAAAAGCAATATAACTAGGGAATCAAAAGCCAAACCGAGTTTTGCTATTCCTTTTTGTCCAAAAGTTGTTGTGATGTTCACCCACAATCAGATTAGATGTTGTATCTCAGCCAAACTTTGATCAATTGAAATGAAATCTGGTATGCTTCATCTGAAAATCTCCAAATATGGTTTCTTTAGTCACTGTATGTAAGTGGTGTCTCTCTTTCTGTTTTCAGGAGTTCTTCTTCCATTGCATGGCCGGTCGTGAAGGACTCGTGGACACGGCGGTCAAAACCAGTCGATCTGGTTATCTGCAGAGGTAGATCTGGGTCTCGCTTCTGCTCTTCACACTCTTCTGTCGGGAGATCTGATGTGCTGGTGTGTTTCAGGTGTGTGATCAAGCATCTGGAGGGTCTGGTGGTCCAGTATGATCTGACTGTGCGGGACAGTGATGGAAGCGTGGTCCAGTTTCTGTACGGGGAAGACGGGCTCGACGTCCCCAAGATCCAGTTCCTACAGCCGCGCCAGTTCCCCTTCATCAAAGACAACTACGAGGTGGCCGTACAGACATGTTTCTTCAGTAATCTGGTTACGTAACTCCGTTTGCTTGTAATGAGTTACACACAACGCGGTTTAACCGTACATTATTTTCTAGGTTATCAGAAAGTCGAAGTGCTTGGATGAAGTCCTGGATAAGATGGACCCACAGGAAGCGGTTAATCACTTTAAAGCCATTAAGAGATGGAAGGCGAAACATGAGCGTGTTTCTCCCCGAGACGGTGGCTTTCTGCTGTTCTCGCAGAAGAAGATGAGCAAGCTGAAGTCTCAGCTGGAGGTGCAGGATCTGGCCAACGGGAGAGAGGCGGCCTCTGGACAGGTACCACCACAGCCGCCGCGGAGAGCTTTAGCTTCAGTTCCTCAAACCTCTCCAGAGTAACACAGGATTCCCTCACGGGTCAAAATGACCCGAAGCCCTAAACTTGTGCTTTTTTGTTCTATTTTTTTTTATTTTATTTACCTTTAAATTACTAGATTTGATCAATTAACCCTCTGGGGTTGTTCGTTTCAGAGTCACACTCGGGGTGTTCGGGTCCAAATGGACCCAAAGGGCGGGATTCATATTTAAAAAAAAAAAAATCATGATTTTTTTTTTTTTTTTTTTTTTACTCGTTTTTATAATATTTTTTCTTTTCTTTTTTGGTGTTTTGAGAGAATTTCAAAAATAAAAAAAAATTATAATTAGTATTAATGCAATAATTATGACAAGATTTCCCCCCATTGAACATAATAAAAAAATATTTTAAAAAAATATATATTTTTTATTTTTTTAAAAGCTGTATTTCATTTTAGAGTCAAGCCTAGGCCTCATAAAAGCAATTTTTGAAATGAGATGGATGCCATCTGGTGGACAAACTGAGCATTTTAAAAATGCAAAACACGCATTTTTACATAAAAATTTTTTGGTGTGTGTGTATAAAAGTGTTTGTGTGTGTGTGGATGTGTCTGTTTTGCACTCTTGATGTTTTATAGATTCACCCCTTCACTGTTGTGTGCTTTTTTTCAAGATCGTGGCTGATTTGTAGATTGTACACACAAAAAAACTCAGTATTTTTTACATTTTTGCCAATTTCCCGTTCATTTTCCATGCGGGTCCATTTGGACCCCAACTATTTTTTTTTACAACCACTTAGACTATTCACATCCCGTCCCCAATTTTTTTGGGTGTTCAAATACCAAATACCAACAAAGTCACCAAATTTCGGACCATTCTGAGGAAGCTGTGATTTAAAAAAAAAAATGTATTTAAATTCTTCGGGTCCATTTGGGCCGAACAACCCCAGAGGGTTAATAACAAATAAAGAGTAATTTAAGCACAATCCTTAAATTCAAAATTACTCACACTTTCAGACATAACCCTTTTAATTCAGCTCTAAATATCTTACATCGGGAGTCTTTGCCGTCCTCTCAGGGGAAATAAATAATATAAGATGATATTTCATGCCTCTAGATGGCCTTATATCTCTCAATGCAGCAGATGAGCTGTTCCTCTGGGTCCTAAAGCCAGTTTTCCTCTGTATGCGTTCAGATACACATGTAAACATTATAAAATAAATGTTTGGGATTTTTAGTTTACACATACATAAAGCTAAAGATTCTCAATTCACTGAAGCATTCCTCACATTCAATTCAATCCTAAGGGACAGATTTGTTTCTTTTTTAAGTTGTAACCACAAAACTCCTCGAATCCATTACATTTTTCTGTGTATTCAAGTGTGACAAAAGTTCAGGCTTCTTGGACTTCTTTATTTAAAATAAATTAATCAGTTCCGGGTCAATATGACCCAAGAACACACGTGGGCGGGGCTTGATTTGTCTGTGATTGGACGGTTGTGGCTGATCTCATGTGAGTGACAGGTTATAGCCCCGCCCTCTTCATCAGAGAAGAGATGCTGAAAGAGGAACTGATTCTGAGTCGAGATGATCAAAACAATAATGATGTGCACCGATAATAAACCTGTAATATTTCATTAATGATGTCTCTGTGCTGTAATGCGTCTGACGGTGTTTGTGCTGCTAGCTCGTGGAGCGGTGGAGGGCTCTGGACGAGGCGGGCCGGAGGAGGTATCTGAAGAAGACGTCTCGCTGCCCTGACCCGTGTCTGGCTGTTCACCGGCCCGACATCTGCTTCGGCTCCGTGTCCGAGACCTTCGAGGCCATCGTGGAGAACTACCTCGACCAGTTCAACGTCAAGCAGGAGTTTCCGGTGTCTTCTGAGACCGTGGACTCCGATAGGTGAGAGGTCATGTGAACCATTAAAGGGTTAAAGGGCCGTTCTAGAATGGGAAGAGCTACTAGAATCAGTCCGTTGTCCACGACAACATTTGATGTGGGTGAATCGGGTTCCTGGGGTACATCTGACCGGGTCGTCATTTTTATTGTTGGTACACAAACTAGGAGTTTCCATATATTTAAATAAGTTACTAAAATAATTAACCCTTGTGCGTCAATTACAAAAAGTTAAACATAGGTCCATTGTAAGGGTGGGAGTTGGCAAAAATGTAACGATTCAATAGTTTCGCGATATTTGGGCCATTATTGCGATTCTGAACATATTACGATACAGCAAGTTTCGGGATTCACGTCCCTATATTATTCGAAGGCGTCACAAAAAATGAAGAAAATAAGACTCTCTTCAAATGTCACATTTATTTCTGTGAACATTATCCTCCAAAGTTTTTGCACTTCAGTTAATGTGTAGAAAGACCTTATTAGAGGACATGACGTCAACTGGAGACCTCTCACATGAATCCCAGCACATAACTTACAATTATTTAAATACAATAGAGTAACATAAAGCAGATATAGATAGAGTAGAGCCAGACCGATATATCGGCAGGCCGATTCCAAACTATCGGTATCGGCAGTTATAATGGCCGATAAATGAATATTACAAAAATAAAATAAAAATGGACGAAACACGCTTCAAACATGTCATGTTGGAGTTTTGAGTTTGTCCACCAGAGGGCACTCTACACCGCCCCTGTTGGCAACACTCGTTTATAACGCGCAACACATTCTAGCTAACCACAAAGCTAGCTAATGCCACTATCATCAGTGGAGTTGAAGGAGCTTTGTTAATTAATTAATGAGCTTTTGTTCCTCCTCTTGTTTTGTTGCTACAATAAAAGAAACAATTTTATTTTTAAAATGCATTATCATATTATTTTAATTAAAACTCATACATAAATACAAATAACTAATGTTAGGGAAATCTGTTAATGTTTTGTTGTGCGTTACCGAAAAAATAAAATAAAAAATATCGGCCGATATATCGGATTTTAAAACCAACAAATATTTGTATCGGTATCGGCCTTCAAAATCCTTTATTGGTCGAGCTCTATAATAGAGTAACATAAACCTGAGAATAATCATATAAATAATGTAAAGGTCTTTAGTACACGCTTTTGGATAAAAAAATGAAATTTACCCACAGTTTCAATTAGATAGAAGACGGAGCGATGCAAATGTGAATTATCAGAGTAAACCCGAAAGTAAAACAGATAATTTTATAATTAAATATTTAAATACTTTGCGCGACTGTATTGATTTAATTGTGTGCGCAAAATATCGCTATACTGAAAAGAATCAATTTCCCCCCACTGCTAGTCCATCGTGGACAAAAATGTCTGTCTCATAAATGTGTTACTGAACATTTCTACATAGTGCACCATTAACTCTTCCAGTTGTTCGTGATTTATTGCATAAGGATTTTTTTTTATCTCTGAAAACAGTGTTTTTCAGTTATTTGTATGTTTGTTCTGTTGTATTTGTGTTATTGCTTATAATTTGATTATTTGTTTTTATCAAGCGGCAACCTCCCCGTCTCTCTCTTCAATCCGACACTGAGTGAGTGAGACTGCAGTTCCTCCACTGGCCACTAGAGGCCGGCTGCAGAACAGACTCAATCCCATAAACCCCCATGTTAAAATGACCAACTTTACAGCAGAAATAAACTGGTGCAAGAAGTGGTTTTGGTCTATATCGCTAATTTTGCCCTTCATGACGACTCATCCGTTTAAATTATATTACACCTTAAAGTTGTTTGTAATGAAGGGCGTGGCCACTTGAGTGACAGGTGGATTGCTCTGATGTCACTGCTAGCCGTTTGTCTGCTACATCACCTCAGCTAATCCCGCCTGTGTGTGTGTATGTGTGTGTGTGTGTGTGTCAGACTCAGGCCCCTCCTGCAGCTGAAGTGGCAGCGGGCGCTGTGTGACCCCGGGGAGGCGGTGGGTCTGCTGGCGGCTCAGAGCATCGGGGAGCCCTCCACACAGATGACCCTCAACACCTTCCACTTCGCCGGCAGGGGCGAGATGAACGTCACGCTCGGCATTCCCAGGTCAGACCTCACTAACAGGGACATCACACAACTCTACATCAACACATTCATTATTTAACTCAACTGTCCAAAACATACGTTTAATTTTCTCCCCTCTGAATATCATTTACAATAAATCACAATTATAAATAAAGCTGTTACATGTCTGAGTAGAGACATTTGTCCTCCATTTTACACACTTATACAAGGCCTTGAATGTAGGGTTTCTTTAAAGGCAGTAGCGCAGTGGCAATCGGGAGAGTCGGGAGTTTTCCCGGTGGGCCGGTGTTCTGCCAATTTTTGCTGCCTTGTTCGAAAAATGCTACCGTAGCGCGAATTGATCACAGAATGGCGATTAAAGTCGTGTGAAATACAATTATAATAGAATTCTAAGTTATGAGTAGCTACTGTATACTGTAGACTACTGTTTTTAATTTTAAAACGGTGTGAAAAGTAAAAATTATCATAAAATATTCATCTTTGACTTGTCAAAGTACACCTTTCCTCATAGTAACTGAGCGTACAAATATTCATATGATAGTAAGCATTTTTTAAAGGCAAATTATACATTATAACAGGAATATGTACCTTTTGTAAAAAAAAAAAACTGTGAGTCTGCACATGCGCATAACCGGTAAGTAGCAAATCTCGATGGGTAGCATGAATCGCCAGAACACCTGTTGTGTTTCGAGGCCGCGAGGCCTAACATGTATTTATTGCAAGTTTGCCATGCGCACTTGGGGCCCAAGCGAGGGGAATATATATATTTTTTTACATTTTCTATAACGGAGCATATATTTGCACTAAGTGCCTGTCTTTATAGCAAAAAGGCGCCCGTTATGTAATAGCTACAGTGGCGTAGGTCGTAGGGCGTGAAGTGTTTGAAAGCAGATTTGAATTGATTTAACTTACCAGTATGCTATAGAGTGAAGACGTGTTAAAGGGTTAGTTCACCCAAAAATGAAAATTCTGTCAGTATTTACTCTCCCTCATGTTGTTCAACCCCGTAAGACCTTCGTTCATCTTCGCAACACAAATTAAGATATTTAAGATATTAAGATCGCTCCTGCATACAGTCCATAGGCTTCTTGAGGGACTGGCTCTTGCTGGCCTCGAAAAGTCATTAAAGACATCGTTAAAATAGTCCAAGTGACTACAGGGGCTCAATCTTAACTTTATCAAACGACGAGAACACTTTTGTGCGCAAAAAAACAACAAAAATAACGACTTTATTTCAACTATTCACTTCCTTCTCCATGAGCCTGTAGTCAGTTAACGTAGTGTGATTGCGTAGAGCTACGTCACACGTAGGCTCACTATTGGCCGACGCTGGTCATGTGTGTGATGCGTGTGACGTACAATAACAGAAGCTTACGCTATTAAACTAGTAACCTGACTCGCGCAGAGGGAGAAATAAACCAATAGTTGAAATAAAGTCGTTATTTTTGTTGTTTTTTTGCGCACAAAAAGTGTTCTCGTCGTTTGATAAAGTTAAGATTGAGCCGCTGTAGTCACTTGGACTATTTTAACGATGTCTTTAATGACTTTTCGAGGACAGCAAGAGCCAGTACCTCAAGAAGCCTATGGACTAGTATGCAGGAGCGATCTTAATATCTTAAATATCTTAATTTGTGTTGCGAAGATGAACGAAGGTCTTACGGGGTTGGAACAACATGAGGGTGAGTAAATACTGACAGAATTTTCATTTTTGGGTGAACTAACCCTTTAACGTGAAATCCTCTTCCACAGGTTAAGAGAAATCCTCCTGATCGCCAGCCCGAACATCAAGACCCCCATGATGAGCATCCCAGTCCTGGCCAACAAGAAAGCCTTGAAGCGTGTGAAGACCCTGCGGAAGAAGCTGACACGCGTGTGTCTATCAGAGGTGCGCACGGCACGCTTCAATCTCAAATCTACACAGAATTATTACAGATTCATATTTTACCAATTCCAAACCACATTAATCTTAATAACTACTATTAATTTTGTATTTAAACATGCCCCACCTGAATATAAGGTGTTTTTCATTTCCAGCCGTCATGAACAATTAAATCACGCATGAATGATTCAATACAAAATGAATAGTGGTTATTAAGATGTGCCGAATGAAAACCTTTTCACAATATTCTAATTTTGAATTTAAGGTTTCATAAGCTGCAAGCCATAATCACATTCACATTTATAACAAATAAAGGCTGGAAATATCTCTCTTTACATGTAATGAGTTGAATTACTGAAATAAATGAACTTTTGCATGATATTCTAGTTTGTCGCGTTTCACCTGTTTGTGAAATTACTGCTTAATTTTATTGATAAAACAATCTCTTCACACAAAATTAACGCTGCAGCCATTTTAAATGTCTATGGGTGTGATATTGCTCATAAATGTCCACGTATATGATACAGTTTACAGTTTCATACTATCCTTCCAATGGTTCAAATTCCCTCAGTCATTGAATGCACTTTAATTGAACCCTTTTTTATTAGTTTATGTATCTATTTACCATTTTTTGACATTTGAAAGATAATCTTTGATAACTGAGAGATCTGATTGTATTCCTACTGAACGGTAGTTTAATTTCGCAGTATCTGTCATGAGATGAGATGAGTGGATCAGTTGTTGAAGCTCTGGATCTCCTCAGGTGCTCCACAAGGTGGACGTGATCGAAACCTTCCGCATGCCGAAGAAGCGAGGCGACAAATCCCGCGTCTTCAAGCTCACGTTCCAGTTCCTGCCTCCCGAGCGATACCAGCAGGACAAGCTGCTGACCCCCGACGAGATCCTGCGCTTCATGGAGCAGAGGTGTGCCTGACGCCCTCTCCGACCTCTGCCCTCCACACACGGGTGCCCACCGTCTCACCGCTCATGTGTGTGTGTTACAGGTTCTTCCGGCTGTTTCTGGAGGCCATCAAGAAGCTGAGCGTTAAACTGGCGGCCATCAGTATGGTGGACACGCGCAGAGCCACGGCCGGCGACGGAGAGGGGGAGGCCGCGGGAGTCGCCGCCACAGAGGTACACTTATTACACCGCATTTCAACACTCTCATAATTATGGAGATCAGAGATATTGATTAAACAATAGACACAAAATGGCCGCCACTGCGTTTGTATGAAATGGAGTGATTTATATTCAGATATTCATTCAGATTTTTGATGAAAACATTCTAGGATTTTCTCCATATAATGGACTTCAATGGGAACCAAACAGTCCAAAGTCCAAAAGACAGTTTCAGTGCAAACTGTTCAAAGGGCTTTAAACGACACCAGACGATGAATAAGGGTCTTATCATGCGAAACGATCGCTCATTTCAAAACTTATTCCAGTCTAAGGACAAATGCAGCCTTGCTCTATTCTGCGAGGCGCGTTTGTAACGTCACGTAATTCGTAATTACGTTCACAAGGTCACGGGCGACGTAGCCGGAAGTACAGAGTCAGTGTTTACAAGTTGAACGCATAGGTTGAACGTGCAAACTAACTCAAACGCCGTTTACAAAAAAAGGAATTAAAAGGTAAAACAACGATGTCGGACGATTTTGACTCTGTACTTCCGGCTACGTCGCCCGTGACCTTTTGAACGTAATTACGTATTACGTGATGTTACAAACGCGCCTCACAGAATAGAGCAAGGCTGCATTTGTCCTTAGAAAAGTTACATTTTTGGAATAAGCTTTGAAATAAGCGATCGTTTCGCATGATAAGACCCTTATTCATCGCCTGGTGTCGTTTAAAGCTGCATCTGAAGCTGTTATTAACTGTCTTTTGGACCTTGAACCGTTTGGTCCCCATTGAAGTCCATTATATGGAGAAAAGTCCTGGAATGTTTTCATCAAAAACCTTAATTTCTTTTCGACTGAAGAAAGAAAGACATGGACATCTTGGAGTAAATTATCAGCAAAAGTTTTTTCAAAAGTGAACTACTCCTTTAAACCCGTTCCTAGCGAGTGTGTAGCGCTGAGGACTGCAGTGACCCGGATGAGCCTGTGTTTCTGTGTATCTGGGAACATCACACCGCTGGATGGAGCGATTGACCAATCAGAGTCAAGCCGTGTGATCACATGGGGTAATGACCGTCTCTTGTCTGACTTCTCCACAGGGTGAAGGCACTGAGGATGCAGAAAACAACATGATTGTGGATGACGTGGCGAATGAAGGTGATGCTGATGCCACGGACTCCAGGAGAAAAGAGAAACAGGAAGAGGAGGTATTAGTTCTGCTTTTGTTCATCTGTGTTTAGTGTGTGATCATGAGAAGCTCCAGTTCTCCTTCTGAACTCCTGAAACGCCTCCACTGTAGTCTCGAGTTTCTGAACACGTCACAATATTCCTCATTATAATAATTAATGCGCAGAATAAAGGGGCGGGGCCTGGTTGAGTTAGTTAGTAGTGTGTTAAACTGGCAGTTATGGAAAGGGGCGGGACGTTTCCTAAACACACTCAAAGCGCTCCACCAATCACAACATAGTACACCAACCGACCAATCAGAGAACAGTGTGCTTTCAGAAGGAGGGGCTTCATAGAGACAGGAAGTAAACAGAGCATTACTGACAGCCTGGGACGAGAGGAGCCGCAACAATGGAGAATATGAGGAGAATAATCAACATTCAAGCAGGAAAACCTGTTCTAGGAGAGCCTGAAACACATCAAGACTGTAAACGGCCACTATTTTGCAGCTTTCTGTATTTATCTTTTAATTGTTTAATTAAATTTGAATAATCAAAAACAATGTCTAGGGGTTAAAAAAGTGAGATGTTAAATGTGTTTTAATAAACTGTTTTAATAAGCACATTATGCTGTACAAATAGTAATACATTTAGTTATAATGACTTCAAACTCTTGCTTTGGCGGGTTTGTGTGTGGACGTATGAGATGATGATAACGCGAGTCGGCATGAAACAGGAAATGCTGTATACTATAAATCTACGGTCACATGACTTTGAGCATGTGAGATTTCTACACTGCAATGGTTGCGATACGTGTTATATTGTGTTATTTTGTCAACTTAATTTCAACATAGAAACAAATACTAATGGATACAGGAAGTAAAAAATATAGTCGACCATCCATATAATGATGCGAGTTCACCAAACTCGACCTTTTGAACTCCTTTTACATGGAAGTCAATGGAACCTAGTGTATTTTTATGACTATTTTTTGCGCAGTTTCCACACTGAACAAGCCATATTCAATTCACGTTTATCTGTATAGGGCTTTTCACAATACACATCATTACAGAAAGTGCCCATTACAGTTTAGAGTGATCTGTTGTCAGATAACTGCATTTCAGAAATCTACATATACAAAATCAGTTAGCTAAATATATATATATATATAAATGAGCTGTGTGTGATGTGACCCTCAGGTGGACTATGAGAGTGAGGGGGGCGAGCAGGGAAGTGATCAGGAACAGGAAGTGGCTGAGGACACACAGGAAGGGGCCGAGGACAATCAGGAAGTGACCTCACACACACAGGAAGAGGCGGAATCTTCTGACGAGACCCCGCCTCCTGAGCGCTCTGAACAGCCGCAGTCAGACTCCGAGGAGACCTTGAGGATCAACGCTGTGCTTCAGTTGAGCGCCGCTGTGGAGGACTACAAATACGACACTGTGAACGGGCTGTGGTGTGAGGTGTGTGTCACTGTCGTCATGTGCACATCTATATATTTCAATATTTCTAATCTATGTATATCGATCGATCTATCCATATATCCGGCTTTTAAAACTACTAAACTAAAACTTACAACTATTACAAACTAAAAATCTTTAAGCTTCAAACTTCCTGGCTAGGCTTTTTATAAATCAACTTAAAGTTTGTCTAGAAACATGTGACAGATGACATCTGAATGTGACAGAAGCACAGTTGTCAGTGTGTGTATCGTTGTGTCCGTGTGCATCGAGTTGAGATTGTCTTCTGTGTGTGTGTGTCTCAGCTGACCCTGGTGCTGCCCGTCAGTAAGGTGCACTTCGACCTGACGTCAGTGGTGTCCCAGCAGGCCCACAGCGCCGTCATCATGGAGACCAAGGGCATCTCGCGCTGCTTGCTGAACGAAGTCACCACGAAGGAGGGCAGCAAAGAGCTGGTGCTCAACACTGAGGGCATCAACTTACACGAGATGTTCAACCATGCTGACGTGAGACCCCTACTGTACACACACACACACCTCAACACTCTCACTGACCCCTACTGTACACACACACACCTCAACACTCTCACTGACCCCTAGGGCTGGGTAATAAATATCGATTTCTCGATATTAATCGATTCTCATTTTACGAACCGATATCGATTCTTAAATCTCAAGAATCGATTAGTCATCCTGTTTCATTTGAATGAATGGATCATTGTATCGCGGCTGCGCGCATCCAAAAAAATCGCAATAATCTTTGTCCTTTGTTACTATTGATATGAAACAAAGTCTCAATTTTTAAATTACGTCCATTTTCTTTAGAAACTCAAAAACATAAATAGCGTTTTGTCGCTGTGGCGTGAGATCGCTCTGGAGAAGCAGCAGCGCTGATCTCTCTTCCGGCTTAATAATACCAGTCACAGCGCCAAATAAACATGAATGAGCATCTGAAAGTGTGTTAAAGATAGAGGACAACTTATCCAAATCCGGATCATGTCACATTGATTCGCTCAATCAGCGTTTCAACCGTGGAAAGACGTCAGTTAAACAGCTTGTAATCAATGTCATCGTCATATTTACCTCAGAAAACCCACATAAACTCGTTAGTCAGCTAGAAAAATAACTCTAGAGGAGCATTTTGCTAAATATATACACCATATTACATATGCATTATAATCTTAATGTTCTTCAATATTTAATGCATATTTGAATAAATCTGAAGTTTTTATGACAGCCACCATTTAAATGTTTATATTTCATTTAATCTTCTTATTATAATAATAAATAAAAGTGTAATTTAAGTGTTTGTATAGCAACAAAACAGTTCATTATTACCTTCATATTAGGCTAATGAAGTCTATAGGCTACAACTAGACTCCCATAGTTTACAGCATTAGTTAAGAGATTTGATTTCCTTGAGAAAATTTGCCATTTATTGTAACTGATATCCAAAATAATCAATATTGAATCGAATCGAATCGAATTGCAAGCTTGTGAATCGAAATCGAATCGAATTGTGAAATTTGTCTCAATACCCAGCCCTACTGGCCCCTACTGTACACACACACCTCAACACTCTTACGTTACAACGTCGTTGTTGCTTTTAAAGTCAAATTCTTTTAAAACATTACAAATCTGACCGATCCAAAAATGTTGAACGGCGGTGTACTTCGGTGAATATGTTCTAGTGCCATAATGGCGTGTAATGCGACCCGTCCTTCTGTTCTAGATCCTGGACTTGAACCGGTTATACTCCAACGAGGTCCATGCTATAGCAAACACATACGGCATCGAGGTGGCCCTGCGAGTCATCGAGAAGGAGATCACAGATGTCTTCGCTGTCTATGGTAATAAAGTGTGTGTGAGAGAGACAGTGAATGAGAAAGTGAGTGAGTGAGTTAGTGAGAAAAAGAGTGAGAGAGAGAGTGTGAGATGGTGTGAGAGACAAGAGTATATCGACAATGTATGTCTTTTTCCAGACAATAATCGTCAATATCAAAAAATGACAAATATATTTCACATAGTCCTTTAGTAATACATTTATTAAAGGGTACATATCATTCATTTTACTTTTAAATCATTCATTTTTACATATAAATCATACCGTTGTGGTCTATATAAAGCATAACTGCAATGCTTGGGTCTGAATTCCTCATTATTAAAGCTCCACAAGCCCCTTTTCTGATGTGCGTCTGTGAGCGACCCGTTTCAAAGCGGCCCCTTTAAATAAAAAGGAGATGCGTCACACCCCGCCCGCTCTCCAGGTCGATGAGTTCACGGTCGGTTCAACTCCCCGCGTTCGGCCATTATTGTAGTTTGATAAGAGATATGCGATTACTATAGCTTCAAAGAACACGTTAATAAAATGTCCACAACAGAAGACTTGTCCATCAGGCCTTACATATTCCAGCCAGAGCGAGCGAGTCGATAAAGACGACGACGGACCTGCAGAACAACCACTTCATATGGATGCAGTGGTATATAAGTTAACGTTAACTATGTTGTGTTATTAGTGAAAGTCGACTATTTCTCTTGTTAAAACAAGCCCTAGGCCTTAGTGGCCCTCACCAGCAGGGGGCGCGAGGGCGTGTCGTTGACGAAGACCAAAGCAATCGCTCCATATTTTGGACACTGAGATATTGAATATTTGAGTGTTTCCCAGCCCTGCTTGACACTGTGTGTGTGTGTGTGTCCTCAGGGATCGAGGTGGACCCGCGGCACCTCTCTCTGGTGGCCGAGTACATGTGTTTCGAGGGTGTGTACCAGCCCCTGAACCGCTTCAGCATCCGCTCCAGCAGCTCTCCACTGCAGCAGATGACCTTCGAGTCCTCCTACCGCTTCCTCAAGCAGGCCACCATGATGGGTACGGTCACATCACACACACATCACAGTCTGATGATCTGCTGTGGGGGGGGTAGCGATGCCCTCACCATCACACACACATCTCAGTCTGCTGATCTCCTGCGGGGTCATTAGTGTGTTATGGGTTACGGGGTCATCACAGTGCGGTGTTCTTAAGTATTTCATTCTCCTAATAACTATTGTGTGTTGTGTTGTGTTGCAGGCTCCTGTGATAAACTGCGATCGCCCTCGGCTTGCTTGGTTGCAGGGAAGGTTGTGAAAGGAGGAACCGGCATCTTCGATCTGAAACAGCCGTTAAACCGAGACTGAATTTAGCCTCTTTAGGGTTAATAGATGGACTCCAGAATGACAAACTGCGTCTCTTTTTGTCTGTATCATCAATAAATAGTTTTTCTTTTTACTTCCTGTCATTTCTATTATATTTGTTCTGTTATCATCATTTATTTTGCTGTCTCAACACATAACTATACCACATGAGTGAAAGTACACACCGATATGTATTTTTAAAAAATCACCTTATCAATTACATTTGCAGACAGCACATACTCTGCTCAGAATAAAGATAATGATAATTAACTATGTATAATAAGTCCATTTACAGAAGCACAAACCTGAAATTATGATAACTATATGAAGAGTTCAGATGCAAAAGCCTCTAAGTGCCATTTGAAATTTTCTTCTAAAATGATCATTTTTATCAAGCTTGTATATTTAAGTTCAGAAATTTCACTTAAATGGCAATGAAGATTACCTATTAATTGTCATTTAAGTGAAATTACTGAACTTAAATATACAAGCTTGATAAAAATCATCATTAAAGAAGAAAATTTCAAATGGCATTTAGAGGCTTTTGAACTCTTCATATGCAATGTATTTGTTTGTCAAAATGTGAAATGCAATTACATATTTTTTTTAATCTTGGTAATATTTATTTTGTTTGATTTTTGTAATTGTGATTTAATAGTTTTAATATGTTAGTGATGGTTACTATTTTTTCTAGTGTGAATTTAAAAAAAATTTAAACTAGTTAAGGTCAGGTTAACCATTTTAGACATAAAAGTCACTTTAAACATAATTGTTATAATAAAAGTATATGGAACCCACAATTAAAAAACAAAACCTCGCAAAAAAATGTAGTGTCCCCGTTTATTCTTTGACAGATATTCCTCTGTTCTTGTATTAATGCTCAATTGGGTTGTACTAAATAAAATGAAATCCTAAACATGTACATAGCTTTTATGATACTGTTAAAACTTAAATGAGATCAGAAAATAAAGAATAGCCGACATAAATAAATACTGACGTGATACAGAAATACCGTTCCCTCGTTCATGAATGAAGCTGAATCGGTTCGCGAATCGGTCTGAATCACTCGGACAGTTCGGTTCACTCATAGATCGGGTGAAATTTACTATGTACAATTTAATCCGTCTCCAAATTTATTGAAACACACCCTGTTAAAAAATACAGGTGCAGCTTAATACTTGTAAGTGGGTTAATGCTCCAGTATAAAACCGTACCTGCTGTTTTAGAAATGAATTGTGTCACGTGGTACCTGCGACATTACTCAGCGCTTTCTCAACACAAGCCAATCAAGTCGTGTGTGTGATTATGAGAAGACTTTCTATTTACACGATCATTACCAATTGTACATATTAATACATTTAAAAGATTATACTTCTGCGCATAAAAGTTTTGTCCAAGGACACGGTGCGCCTTCTGGCCGAAGCCGGTTGTTTTCAACTTCCGCTCTCCAGTATCCCGTCATGCACCGGTGTTTGAGCGGCACGGCGTCTCAACGTGTTCTGACCGTTCTGACTCAGGGCATGCAGCGCCTTAATTGAGATAAAATCATTAACTCTGCGTGGATTTTAAACCGGTGGATGAACCGATATAACTCCAGCTTTATCTGACAAGCGGAATCGCGTCTATTCGAGCGATATGTCTTTGGTTTGTGCGAGTAAGTGAGTTTGTTTCTGTTAGCATGAGTGATTAGCAGTGCTAGCTATTGTGCACATATTAGCAGAAACTTTGTGTTTAAGAAACTCCGCTTCAATGACGAAGCTTTCTTCCGCTTTTTTGCTGTATTTCATTAGACTAGAAGTGCGTATATGTTAACTATAACGCTGGAAGATCTGCGTGTGTGTCTGAAGCCTGAGCCCGATAAAAACAAGATTTGTGAAGTCTAGCCTAATTGTTGATTTTAAACATTGGACAATGACGTAGCCAATGATATTTATTTGATTAAGAGTGGTGTAACTAATATGATGTATTTTGCACAAACCTCATGTTTGTGTCTTTCTTTGAATGAAACCTATCGATCCAAACGTTACTTTTACTTTGTCAAGGTGTCTTTTTACAATTACACACTCACGTGTAAGTGCTGATTTATATTAATTACCATGTACTTTCAGGAATAGGGTTAGTTCCATGTTATAATGATGCACTATGAATTGTTGTAAGTACCATCACTACACAAGGACTCTGTAAAATGGTGTTGCATGATTATAAATGCAAATGTTGTTCTCGTTCCAGTCTCCAACGAGGTGCCGGAGCACCCCTGTGTGTCTCCTGTCTCCAACCAAGTGTTCGAGAGGCGTCTCATCGAGAAGTACATCGCTGAGAACGGAGCTGACCCCATCAATGGCCAGCCTCTGTCCGAGGAGCAGCTCATCGACATCAAGGGTATGAGGAACACACTCCACAGCTTTATCCACGGCGTACACACACAACCTGAAACCTGATGCTCAAATCTGCAAACCTCTCAGCTTTCCACTCGGTTTTCAATTTCAGATAACACTTTTTGCGAACCAAAACATAAAATTCTCTATGTAATACATGCAAGTTGAACAGGAAGAATCTTGATTTCTTTTTGAAAACACAACCTATCAAAACACCACAGTAAATCATCAACTGTGAGCAGTGGATAAAGCTGTAAGAGGTCCAGTATAATGATGCACACACACTCTGTGCGCCACGGTTTGACTGTGTTGTGTGCCTCCAGTGTCTCACCCCATCCGGCCGAAGGCTCCGTCGGCCACCAGCATCCCCGCCATCCTCAAATCCCTGCAGGACGAGTGGGTGAGTCTCTCTCCACAGCCGTACACACACACTCACACACACGTCACTCATGAGCTAGAATTAAAAAGGAGGTCAGGAATCGGATACTTGGCATACAATTTTAATTTCGATTCCTTTTAATATGACGTTAAAGCATTGGTGTTTGCTGTGCTGCACACACACTCTCAGAAAGAAACCATTAACACTGATCGCACAACACGAGACTTCACTGAATAACTTTATAACTGTATTTCTAATGTATATTTTATTAATGAAGTCAGTTTGTGAACCTGAACACCTGAGAATCTTAAAACACTGTTTATTTCTATCATATCAATGTTCAGTTGTGTCTATTTGTTGTGTTTGCTCATTTATCATTTGTCTTTTTTTAGTTACTGAGTGTTTACTTGTCTTTAATAATGCTTGATATTTATATTAGTTAGTCTAGTTGTATTTCTGTGGTGTTTATAATCCACAGGCAAACGCTCCTAGTGTAAGGCCGTGTGTCCACCAAAGCGTTTTTATCCAGCTGAAAACACCAGACGCTGTCCTGACGGTTTTTCCGCTGAGACGTTTCGTTGCTATGATACAGAATATCCTCCGCACAGTTTACTTGTTGTAACTGATTTCGCAGATAATTTGTTTCATACTAAAAAATCGTGGAAAAACGCTTTGGTGGACACATGTGTTCTTCAGCTGGTGAGTTGTTCATCATATTCAGATGCAATTACATGTTTTGCCATAAGACTTGAAATTAAAAATAATATCTAAGGTTGTTTTTTTATTATTATTTATTTATTTTATTTTTTTTTTGGAATGGAAATGAGAAATTGATAACAATCGAAATCGATAAGCAGAATCATAATTGGTAACGTTGTGTTTAGCTCTTGCAGTGGAAGTAATGGGCTAACCGTGTCCAGCTAGAGTTACGCTAGCTATCCATGTCAATCATCTCTATTAGAGCGGTCACTTTACACTTGAAAACCGATTGCACAATCGATTAGACCAACCAACACAAGTTTCTAAAACGAGAATAGGGAATCGGTTTTAACAGTCTTTATTTTTTTTTATTTATTTATTTTTTTTACAAAAAATGTGTGTTAGATGGACAGATCAATACAGCACACACACAACATGTAGGATGCTGGAAAACAGTGTCTTCTGTTCTTCAAATGCTTTTAATATTCGCTATTACTTCATGTGTTGTGTAGTGACGTGTGTGTCTGTGCAAGTAAGCAGAAATGAGCAGATGATCAATAATCTGGGGGATTATGAGCTGACATTTCACAGACACTTTCTAGGCATTCCATCGATTTATATTCACCTTATCTGTGTGTGTGTGTGTGTGTGTGTGTGTGTGTGGTCCAGGACGCAGTGATGCTGCACAGCTTCACCCTGAGACAGCAGCTTCAGACGACCCGACAGGAGCTGTCCCACGCTCTCTACCAGCACGACGCCGCCTGCAGGGTCATCGCACGCCTCACCAAAGAGGTCACCGCTGCCCGAGAGGGTAAGAGAGAGTGTGTGTGTGTGTGTGTGTGTGAGAGAGGTCCTCTCCGGGATGGTGACGGCACTCACGTGTTCCTCTTCTGCTTGCAGCTCTGGCCACGCTCAAGCCTCAGGCTGGACTGGTGGCTCCTCAGGCGGCTCCTGCTTCCCAGCCGGCAGCTGTGGTCAGTACTACACACACACACACACACACACACACACACGTGCTGCTTCCCAGCCGGCAGCTGTGGTCAGTACTACACACACACACACACATTTTACACACACAAGTCATGTCGAGTCTGTTCACACATTGTCGCTAGTCTGTGTTAATTGTCAAAATGGCTAAAAAGCTACAATCAAATTTCTTTCTTAAATATTAGCAAAATTGAAAGCAACACTTAATGTTAGAGGAAAAGTCGAGTTTGGTCTCCCATGTCCTCAAGCGAGCGCAATAAGCAAATATAACCCAAATCAAGATTCGTATCTTTTATTGAAATGAAATGACATTCACTTTTTCAAGTGCATTAACTTTTGTAACAATTGTTCTTAAATAAAATACATTTAAAAAACTATTTATTTTTGTTAAAGCTACAGAAGTAATTTTCTGTTTTCAAGCCTCTACACACAACGTGGCAATAGAATCGCCATTGGCTAGTCTTTTTTTTTTTCTGGTTACTCGTCAGACTGATATATATATTTATGTGTATATATGTATGTATATATATATATATATATATATATATATATATATATATATATATATGTGTGTGTGTGTGTATATATGAAGAGTTCAGATGCAAAAGCCTCTAAGTGCCATTTGAAATTTTCTTCTAGAATGATGATTTTTAT